ATAGTTAAATAGAATCACGCTGAATTTTTTCAATTCTCTATCATGATGTTCCTTGTTTTGCGTTATTAAACCTTGATGGTGTGATATTTTCTCATTGATGGTATTAATATCGGATTGAAGTTTAGCCAAATGTGTAGACATTGGTATAAATTTATCATTCATACTTTTCTCCAAGTATCCTTTTGTTACAGCACCAACTTCACCCTCAGGCTCAGCTAGATGTGTTATTTGTTTTCCCTGGGCATCATAATGGGAGTCCTTAAGTGATATACAGAGTCGTTTTACAGTCTGGTAGTTGACTCCGTCAGTGTCTTCAATAGGATTTCCCACATTTATTAACCTTTTACTTCTAAGATTATAGGAGTGTCTATCACCTGGTATTATTTTTTTATCGACATATTCCTTTGAAGCCGCGTCATTACTGTTTTTGGGTTTACCTATATTGGTCACGATTTTGCCCTGTAAGTTGTAGTTCCCCTCGGCTGTAAGAACATATCCCTCACTTTTAATAGGGTCTTTGCCCGATTTGCTACTATGTCCAAACTTATCAATAGTCATTATATTAATGATTTAAACCTAGAGTTTCCACCACCTCTTATACACCCAGCTTCACGCAGCTCTTCTATGATACTAATGATCTCATTGGAATGTACTCTGTTTCCGGTCTCTGTAGGCATGATAATATACCCGAGTCGGTTTACAAGTTCATTTACATCATCCCAATATAATGTCTCGAGAATGTATGTTTTTCCATAGTAAGCCTCTCCCTTGTTCTAACATTAATGGCTGTATAATTCTTAGATATTTAACACCTTTACTCGATTTAACTCGACCTGTAGGCTCATATTTCTCTCTATAGCGTTTGTAGCATACAATATACTTTTGTATGTATTCAAATCGTTTTCCATGTAAGTACCTTTATCGGGTAATCGTTTAAATAATAGTTCGTAAAGACCTTCAGACGCTCCATAGTTAACACCACCGATATATTTATATATATTACCTTTATCGTTAAAGTCCAAGTTTTCACTACCAACCATTAACACACTGCCAAATGTGTAGTCTAAAGTTGCTCTATTTTAGAGGAGTTTTTATGAGGGACAGTTTACCATTGAGAGTTCATGAAAATGAATCAGCAGTTATAAACCTAGATTGTATAAAGGGAAATGGTACTCATTGGGTGTGTTATTATACGAGAGGTTTTCATATTGAATACTTCGATATTTTTGGCAACTTAAAACCACCAATTGAGTTACAACAGTATTTCAACACAGGATTTCATCCTATATTGGTCAAATATAACTATTTCCTAAAACAAAAATTCAACTCTGTCAACTGTGGTCATTTTTGTTTGGATTTTCTTGCTAAAAGAAGATGATTTGTATTACTGGAAATTCATCTAATTTAAATTGCTCACTGTTCCCTCCAATGGACTTATCATCAGCAAATGAATGGGAGCTAGGATTCCTGGATTTAATGACATATAACTCAATACCAAACGTGGAGGAAGGTATAAACAACATTTTACATGTTGGAAATGATATACAAATATCCTTACCAACAGGATCTTATGAAATCAGTGACATCAACACGTATATAAATAAGCAGATTAAAAAAAAGCATCCTTCTGTTACATTTGAGTTGGTTGCTAATAATAATACTTTGAAAAGTGAAATCAAGTGTTCAGAAACTTTAGATTTTAGCAAACCTTCAAATATAGGTTTGTTACTGGGATTTAGTGAAAATTTCATTCTTGAAGCGAATAAATGGCATGTATCTCCAACTCAAGTCACCATTAATAAAGTTGATGTCGTAAGAATAACATGCAATATTGTGTGCGGATCATACAGAGACGGTATTGAAGGACATGTGTTACATGAGTTTTATCCTTTAGTTGGACCCGGTTTTAAAATAGTTGAAAAACCAACATCAATCATTTACCTACCTATTTTCAATAGAAAAAGTCTGTCAGAGTTTAACATTAAGTTAGAGGATCAAGAAGGTAGGCTTGTTAATTTTAGAGGTGAGAACATCAATCTACGGTTACACATAAGAAAGAAATCACAACATACATAATGGGATTTATTTTTGATAACCAAAAATCAGTAGGAAAACCGCAAAAACATACAAGCCAATAAATCCCAATCACACGATCAGTAACAATCGAGAGGTTAAACAGTTAACACTGAAGAACCGTTTATTCTTAAAATCACTAGGGTTTTACAAAAAAAAAGATGAATGACATCCTGAAGATTAGTGAAAATGTGAACTATGATGATACCATATGCAATATAGAATATCACAGCCACACACCATACTCTTCCAATTCACTAAAGAACAGCGATGAAATACGAATCCCAGTTCATCAACAAGATGTCTATACACTGCCTAGTAAGAGTTTTTTAGTAATCAAGGGGAAAATTGTAAAGGCCGCCGATAAGAAAGATGATACTACGACTGAATTGATTACCAATGCCATGTCTTTTTTGTTTGATGAAATTAGATATGAGTTATGTGGAACAGAAGTTGATAGAGTAAAAAATGTTGGAATTACAACTACAATGAAGAACATATTGACTTCCCGCTCTTCTGATCAAAATTGGATGGAAAATGCTGGCTGGAAAGTTACCACAGTAGCAGTGCTAGATGAAAAAACTAATTTTTAATTTTGCATACCACTGAAATTACTCTTAGGGTTTGCAGAAGACTATAATCACATTTTGTTAAATGTTAAACAAGAATTGATTCTTTTAAGGTCTTCAACAGATAAAAATGCAATTTTTCAAGCTGCTACAGCTCTTCACGATGTCAATATAATCCTAGACAAGGTCATATGGAAAATATCCTATGTCCAAGTTGAAGACAATACAAGACTTTCTCTCTTAAAAATAACCGATAGGGATCAACCTATATCTATGCCTTTTAGAAGATGGCAACTGTACGAATACCCAACTCTCCCAGTATCAAAACTACATTCTTGGACAGTCAAAACAAGCTCAATGATGGAAAAACCACGATATGTAATTTTAGGTTTTCAAACCGATAGAAAAGATAAGTCAAATAAAAATGCAGCTCATTTTGATATGTGTAAGCTGGAAAATGTCAAACTATATTTAAATGCAAAATACTATCCTTATGATAATGTTAACGAAAACAAATCTCTAATGTTTAACTTTTACTCATCATTCCATTCTTCTTATTATAATGGAATTGACGATCAACCATGCCTTAACAAGGAAACCTTTATTAATAAGGCACCACTGTTTGTAATAGATTGTTCAAAGCAGACTGAAACAATTAAAACTGGATCCTTAGATATTAGAATTGATTTTCAAACTTAAGATGACATGCCTGCTAACACATCAGCTTACTGTTTAATTATACATGATGCTTTGGTTCAATATTTACCGCTGTCTGGTTCTGTACGAAAAATAATGTAACATATGATTAATAAAACAATTTTATATTACTTTATTTTCATTATTATATCCCTACCTTAACCATTATTGTCCTCTTAGTTGTAACACATATCAAAATTTGGGTTTATACAAAAAAATATACACAAGTCTGGATGAGGTTACAACTAGGTACTTGACAGTATGCACAAGTGCCATTGTTGTTGTATCCATCATTAAAAATTATGGTTATGTTTTTTATCAGTACTCAACACAATTCTGTTGACTACTACAGTATAAACAATATGTTTTTTAGATCTAAAAATCCTATTTTTTCTCTTTTGAACAATTCAATTTTCCAAACAATCATTGTAATCCTTAAATGGCATATAATTCATCAATACTGTTTTTAAACATCTGCAGAACTTAATTTTTTAGTTGCATACATACTACTATTGATTATAATAAAAAGAGTTTTTAAAACAACAAGAACAGATAATCACACCATAATGTAACAAGCTTAAAAGGAATGCTTTTAGGTATATGCCTAAAAATGCAATTCCATGCAACTACAGTATTAAGATATCAAAAGTATTTTCAACAGTCCTTTAGACAATTTGAAAAGTCACATTTATTGTGTCGTTGAACATGAGAAGGTCAGACCACATCAAAACATCCAAAGCTGGATATTAAATAATGATAGTGAATGAAAGATTTATCTCAGAAATATATCTGAGTAAAAGATGCAAAATATCCAACTTAAGATATGGCAAGTTGAATTTATTAGGTGAGAATAAAAAAGGATTATAAACCCTTTCCACTTAAGTTTACAAAATGCCATATCACTATTTTAAATTGATGTAAATGAGTGATTATCACAGACATGATTCAAAGAAAACACGTGGTACCTAGGTTCACAGTTCACAGTCCACTGCATGTTAGAATATTCCGCAAAATTCTATAAATTGCAAAAACTTAAGTAGCAGGAGAGCGGAGATTAGTAAGAACCATAATTGAAGAAAGTCTCTGTTTAAAAAAAATCAACTCCAAATTAAATAGATTTGAAAGAAAATTCGAGCGAGTATCAGGAGAGCTGAAGATACTAGGAAACTGAATCGACGGAGCCAAAAGCGCGCGCAAAAGGAGATAAAGAAGTGTAAACAACAATGGCGGACGATGTAAACAGACGCGGCGACCCGCGGGTCGGGGATTCCCCGATAACGGATAACGCCGGAATGCGATATCTGTTATCTAATTGTTTTTTTAATTGGGGTCAATTGGGGTTAAACGTTTGATTGGCGCTATCGGCTGATTACTGGAGGTCAGGGGTCAAGGATTGTAAACAATAAACAAGGTATGGCTTTGCGGGGGGCAACACCTGTTGCCCCAAATGCACCCTCTCTGTACTACTCGTATCTTCTCTAAGTGATAAAAAACTAATTTTCTACACTTCACTCAAATGCAAACTAATATTTGACACGGGTTTTTTGTAAAAATATAAACAGCTCCAAAAGAGCTAAAATACATTCAATTGGGTCAATAAAATACCCCCTTTTTACAATCCTTTCAATTTACAAATGCGAGTTGGTGATTTCCGTTTTTGAAATCAAAATTTCTTTTAAGTTTACGACCTCACGTCAAGAGAATATCCCTGATACTGGTATTCTAAAATATTTTACTAACCTACCTTATTTTCTTTTTCTTTTATCTTTTCTCCTTATTTCTTTTTCTTTTTCTTTTTGTTTTCTTTTATTTTTGTACCTTACCCCCAAAACGTCAACAGCCCTCTGTTCTGTCAACAACTGCGTTCTGTTATAAGTACACAACAAAACTTATTGTAACTTGTTGTTATGTAACTTAACATATACTTACGGTTGTTATATCTTCCGATGTATGCTATGGCGCAGTGCATCTTCTCGAAGCTGGAGAAACTGGGATACAAACAGCCTGAAGATACGTTCCACCCCCTCCCTTCATAGACCTTCAGATCACCGCCTATATAGAAACTGTCATGTGTTAGGTTATGATGATACTGATTGGAATCTAATTACATTTAGTAATTTTTCTTTTAAATTCTATATGTTTGTACATTCTTGTCCACATGTAGGATTAAAACTAAATTGTAAGTAACTTATGCAAGAGAGGCTTATAAGTAAGTGCGTTTGATTCTAAATGCTAACAACATGTTATACATAACATTTTCCGGGGAAAATGTTTTGTCTATTCGAAGCATTGTTTTGTAGTTATAGATATCACTTAGCCGGGGGGGGGGGGGGGGGATTTTTATTTTATACGCAGTAACAGAGATTGGTAACTTTAGTACTTTGATTGTTAAAAATTTTCAAATAGCTCTAAAAATTAACAGACTATGATATTAATCATGCATAAAATACCATTGGCGATTGGTGCGATTTGAATACGAACCTTAATGGCACAGTTATCCGCATTAGTTATTAACCTGCTCGCGCCAAAAAGAAAATCTAAATCCTCCATTAATACTTCAAACCAAATGGACGTTTTTATATTTGAAATTAGCATGATGAATGATTTTGTGTTGGTTTTATTATTTATAAAATCGCATCTATATCACGACACTACTGTATGATCAATCAAAGTAAACTTAAGAATACATTTTTGTTTGTGTACGATCGAAAACAACGAAGGTAAGTTATTTTGTTAAAAGTTTCCCCAACCTGGTACAATATTTCTTAAGTGTGTCGAGATATTTTGTAGATTACTTTCAGGTTTGTTGTTTCGGCTGTGCCTTATGTTGTTTTTCAATTACTGATTCGATATTTGAAAATAAACCACGACATTTCTTCAAACCCTAACAGAAAATGAAAACCGCACTTGGATTTAAAATGAAAGACATTATTGATCATTATTATTGACATTATTTTTGACATTATTGACATTATTGTAACCTTAAAACTCTTAAAAGTTTACGCCTCAATAATTTCTACATCTTAATTGGAAAATGCATTGTAAGCATCAATATGTAATTTATTTGCAAGGTTAATTTATAATATAATATAATTATATTGAAAATATCTTATTTAAAATAACAGTCATATATTTATACAAATAACTGAAAAAGGGCACCCAATGGTAAACTCGCAATACAGCCTTTCCAATGCATTGGTTTTTTTTATTCAAGAAATAATACTATACTAAGGAATTATAAAAAAGTTGTACAATATTTTTTGTTTGCATTTAGAGTCAAGGTATGTAAATGATAAACATGTCAAAAGGGGATGATTGGCACCTCACTCGAACCAGAGGAGCAAGCTGGTCTGGTAGAGCGCAGGAGTTCGGTTTCTGAGGTCTCGGGTTAAAGTCTCACCAAATCCCCAAGGAATTTATCTAAGTGATAATGCCGCACCCCTTAGGCCTAGCCTGAAGAACGTGACATCCGATCCCGGACTAGAGGCTATCGTCCTAGCTTACAACGCTAGGCTAGTTTGGAGGTTTATCTGACTTCTAGGATGTTCAAACAAAACAAAAACTACACTTGAACGTATTGATTGACCTTAGTATACAGGGTAATACTTAGAACGGCGTATCTGCTGTTGTGTACATTTTCTAATGACATTTACAAAATGATTCGATGTCTCAAAATTTAACTTTTGAGCTTCAAATGGGGCTTTAGCATTAAAATTTTGGATACTCGAATACTAAAACTATATATTCAAGTAGAGGTAAATTTGTATTGTGACCTACTTGTATTGTATATCGGACATCCCCATGTCCATGTGGCGTTGTTGGGTTTTCCTCATAACTCTGCCACACTCCTCCTGGGTGAAACACTCGTCAGTCTGCGCGTAGGTCCAGAGCACCCATGGGTGAGGCCATGGGACGGGCTTCGGGTGGTCCACGTCAGTCCTAGGGGGAAGTGCACCCCACTCTGCTCTTGACACAACTTGTATTTTCTTCTCCCAGGCGGACTCAGTTTTGGGTGTTGGATCATCGGGTGGAAATTTCGGAAGCCTGAATTTAAGCTGTACAAATTCGTGTTGACGTGTTTAGAATCAATTAATAAAATCTCCTCTCTTAATGGGGGTATTTACAAATTAACTATCCTTCCATGTTTTTTTTTTCTATAGCCTGTATGATTTTACCAGTCTCTTGACACCCTGTCTACCTAGGACTATACTGGGCCTTAAACTACTGGGAAGTTTCCAGATAGACGGAAGGTCAGGAAACAGTTTCCTAAATACAGACTATAATATAAAGAGATGCAATAAACATTAATTATTGCTTTTAAGATCTTAAAACATATTATAGCTTAATGTAGTTTTGTCTAGTAATTGTTTAAACTCTATAAACATTCGATAGGTGGTTATGCGTCCAATGTAGTACTCTGTAGTCAAGGACAAATTTAATTAATTAATTATATGACATATCTAACAGCATCGGTAAAATGTTGTTGCAATTAGCGTGTTCGTTTTAATTTATTATACTACGACTATGGTAGTGTGCATGCAAGCTGAACTCTTTTAATTATATTAACATTCAACAAATACCCTATGTTTATAACAATGTAAAAACTGTATTATGCAAACTAATCAAATTGTTGGTTTTATTAAGGTTTTAAATGATTAAATTTCAACGTTATATACGTAAAAATGTTTTGGTGAACTCACATGTTTCTGACTTAGTTGTTTGTAAAAAGCCATACTAGTTTTTCATTTACTACCAAAACATATTGACATTTCTTTAAGAACACCTATTAATTACAAAACTTAGTACTGTGTGTGATTTCGATTCCAACCACAAAATAAATATATCTTTCAGCTTAACTCAAAATCTTGTGGACGATCATGAACTCTTATCAATCTCTTTGTTAATGTTAAAAGCATATTTTTAATATCGGTAAAACTATCTACATGTTATCACTGTCTTGCCCATTCTTAAGAGTGATATGTCATATTAGTTACTGTTTATCAAATTAGTTATAACGCTCATTCTACTGTGTTTTTTACAATTGAATTATAACAAAAAACTAATTAAAACACAGCTGAAAATTCGACTAATAAGTGAAATATAATTTTCAACAACGATAAATAAAAATAAAAATAGTACTGGTAATACATAACACTGTAAAAAGAACAAAAAAACTTCAATAATAACGTCAGTTATTATTTGTATGTGATTTTAGAACCTAAATTACTTATCAGTAATAGGTCCATAAAAAAAATACTTTTACATTTACTGTACATAAATAAAGAACGGGTACTCGTGTATATTAACAGTTATTTTATTAACAAAACATTTAACAACAAGTATATGGACAAATTAAATTTTAGGTTATTTAATTTAGCAAATTGTTTGAGCAAATTTGCTTATAGGGAAGTAGCCTTAGGTTGCACGGTGAAACCTAGATCCAGTACAATATTTATCTTCGCGAAACAACAGATCGGACTACTAGAAGGGGTTTTATGCGGAAAAATTATTTTTGACCCTCAAAACGTAAGGTTTGGCAGTTACTTTGATAACCATGCTATAGGAATAAAAAAAAAAAAAACAATTAATGCAATATACTGAAACTTTGTTGTACAGGTTATAGTGCAGTAGAAATAATCGAAAATATAGCTTAAGGTGGAACTAATTGCAACACAAATAATTCTTGCTGTGAATGGTAGGTAGTATGCTTCTAATCAACATACTAAAAATATACATCCGTACTGTGGCGCAAAATACGTTTTTTGGCCGCCATCTTGAAAAAAGTGTCAAAATTTTAATATTCGTAAAAATAACTTTTTGGGTATCAAATTATAGGAAATTTAATGCTGAAAAATGTTATAATAGTGGTTATAAGCACTATTTAGAAATACGATCGTAGTACAAAATACCCCCGCCGCAGCAAACCTGCAGACTAAACGAATTTCCATTTGTCTTAATTGATTTTCAATTAAATCTAGTAATTCAGTTTTAAAAATCTTTGTACAACTAAATATAGAGTTCTACTGGACCGATTTTATAACCTAATGGGTCATTGGAAAGGAATTCGTGTAGATTTTGAAATAATTATTAAAGTTTGATTTTTTAAGATTTGCTAGGTGAAACCCGTCAACGTCGACAAATAGCTTAGGTACTGTTGAGTTTGCTAGTAAGATCTTTTTAACTATAAATCGATGATAGATAACTCCATTTTTAAACAATTTGGATCGTTTATAATTTAGCAGTGTGCTTTAGGTACGTCCAATCTCAATAATCAATAATTCCAATGGAATCTGGTATTTCACTGAAGATTTTTAGATAAAAACATATAGGATAATGCAACTGCTGGAATACATTTTTAATTGAAGTAAAAATTGAAAAAATCCAATTTAATTGTTGTCGTAGGGTTATACATTTGATAGATTAATGATGACAAATATGTGCTTGCATAGCTTTGAGACCAAAATTATGAAAATCGGTCCGGTAGAAGAGCCAAACGAACTCGAAAAAAACAAATTTAACTCCCATAAGTAATGTACAGGGAGGCAGTTTGTGCATAGCTCAAAATATACGTCAAAATGAGTGCTGATGCTAGCAAATCTATGGTGCGTCTATAGATTTAGTTTAGAGCCGAATTCACACTATGTAGCAAAACCTGCTATATAACTTTTGCTATATACCATTGCTTTATAACTTTTGCTGTATGAAAAATTTACAAACAATTTTAGTGATTCTGGTGCTCGTGCTATATGTTATATGTAGCACAACCTCATTCGCATTCCGTATCGAAATGTGCGCTGAAGAGACATTGTTCGTGACAGCTATCGTGGTGATCTTGGAAGTCAGAGAGAGAGACAGACAGGAGCGAAGATTTTAGCAAGTTTTAGGTTTGACCGCTTCTTGCTTCGAGAAATAAGTACAGTGTAGCAGATTTATTACGGGACCTTAATGATGATGAATACCCTGACAATCCATAATTAAAACGCTAAATAAGGCGACGGTAACTTCAAAAACGTTTTATGTATGATCACAACGCCGGTTGTCCACGGAACAGTTCAATTAAGTTTATAATATCAATAGCCCCGATAATATCATCCCGATCCTAGGCACTGCCACTTTCCGTGTCCAGTCCTTCCATTGTAAACAAAGATCGCTGAGCAAAACCGTTCAGCGCTACATATAGGAGATGCTAGACGAAAAATATATGTATATCATTGCTACATATGGCAATGTTAGATGTAGCACGTATTTCTTTTGATATTTACCGACTCCCGATGGATAGCACAATTTTAGCTATATATAGCAGGATCTGCCACATATAGCAGTGTTATATAGCACTTTTGTAAAGTTACTTTTTCTACTTCTAGCAAATGTAATATAACATTGCTAGATGTTACACAAATCTGCAATGTAGCAGGTTTAGCTACATAGTGTAAACCCGGCTTAAGGCCAAAATTATGAAAATCGGTCTGGTAGAAGAGCTAACCCGACTCGGAAAAGAAAAACCAATTATTTTTATAGATTGCAATAATTGATTTACCAGTATGCATAATCTAACCATACGAAAAATGAGTTGATAATTTAACAGCTTATTGTTATTTAATTAAATTTTCTTTGATTAAATATTGTTGTTAACAATTTGCATTTGTGTTTAAAGTGTGTTTCTTATGTTAAGTGTGTTATTATGAGCTTAATATGTACCACATATTAGTGAGTAAAGTGGTGTATGGATTTCATAACCATTATTTTACTAGAGACCGTTGCATTAATTTAACCACAATGGGCTCTGTTGCTAGTCTATTAAATAAATAACATTAGGTTAAACGAAACGAGTACCAAGGTTTGCTGCTACAAGGAAACCAATTAAGTGTGTTTTTAGTAAAATATTAATTGTTTAGTATAAAATAAATAAATCTTGAAAGTTTTATCAAAATATATCCATAAACAAGGAAACTACAACTTTTTACCATATTCTCCATAAGAATAACAAAGGGATTTTAAATTTCCAATTTTTTGAATTTTCCCCGTTACCAATAATCGTACAAAACCCCTTTGATATACTTAACCATTTGTTTTTTAAGCTCTTTAAAAAGGTCTAGAGAGAAATTGGGGAATTTTACGTTTTAAGGGTCAAAAATGAAAAAAAAACAAATTTTAAAAGTATAAAATAACTTATAAATAGAAAACTTTTCAAATGCCAAATTTTTAAACGCACCTTTTTTCGCCCATATTGCATCACTGTTAACAGTATATTTTAAATTCAACCATTATATTCTTTTCCAGCATGAAATGTTCTATAATTTGATACCAAACCAGATTTTTTAACAATAATTTAAAATGTTACACTTTTTTTTAAATGGCGACCAAAAAACCGTATTTTGCGTAACAGTACAAATGTATATTTTTAGTATGTTTTTTATAAGTGTATTACCTACCATTTCTAACTGGAATAATTTCTGTTGCAATTAGTTCCACCTCAAACCCTATTTCTACTGCACTATTAGGAGAAAACGAAAAGAAATGAATTTTTAAATTCCCATGTATATATATATATAAGTAGTCTACTGTTGTATTTTTCTTGTTTGTGCATGTATTTTTTGTCAAATTTGGTAAATTTATTTGTTTATTACTGCACTATTAGTATTTTAACAACAAAACTTGTTTTTCCTGTAGAATAAAATTTATACAGGGTGTTTTTTTTTTTAAACTTGCATCTTTATTTATGTAAAAACCGCAATAGATAGAAATATGCAGTTTGCGGGAATCATCTATTGACGTAGGGGGCCCAATTTTTTTATATCAAAGTTACATTCACATCCCCCCCTTTCCCTCCCTGCCACCAACTTATTTTTTTTTAAATAGCAAGGTACCCCTTGTGACATATCAAATGAATGAGCATGAAAAAAGAAAATGTTTGATGAAAAAAAATTAAAAATCGGTTCATAAATTTGCGAGATATTTCCCCCCCCCCTTTCCCCGGAACTTGATTTTTTTTAATAGCAAAGTACCCCTTGTGACATATCAAATGAAAGAGCATGAAAAAAGAAAATTTTTGGTGAAATTTATATTTCATTTGATATGTCACAAGGGGTACTTTCCTATAAAAAAAAATCAAGTTCCGGGGAAGGGGGGGGGGGAAATATCTCGCAAATTTATGAACCGATTTTTAATTTTTTTTCATTATACATTTTCTTTTTTCATGCTCTTTCATTTGATATGTCATAAGGGGTACCTTGCTATTAAAAAAAAAAAATAAGTTGGGGGGAAAGGGGGGGAATGTAAATGTAACGTTGAATTCAAAACAATTGGGCCCCCTATGTTAATAGATGATTCCCGCAAACTGCATATTTCTATCTATTGCGGTTTTTACATAAATAAAGATGCAAGTTTTTAAAAACAAAAAAAACACCCTGTATATTCGTTTAACTGAATGTTATTCAAAAGGGAATAAATCTGATAACTTTAAGCAACAATTTCAGTCCAAACAAATCTTAATTCACTCAGTCTGCAAGTTTGCTGTGGTTGAAATAATTTATTTTTAATTAGGAATATAAGTACACGTTATTAATGCTCTGAACGAGTACAATTCCACGCTTCCTTCACACACATACACATTAGTATACGAAACTATTTTATTTATACACCACAATTTGTACTATACATCCTCAGATGTGTCTAGGTTATATTGTTTAACTGACTCTGGCACTACTACGGGTTCAGCGTTGTAGGGTAGCCCTTTCTGCTGTTCTTCCCAAGAACTGTTAGTCGTACTTTTATACAATATTGTCCTGTCATTTTCCGAACCTGGAGGTGGTTGCCACACTTTATATTGTAGGAATTCTGGGTTGCAGTCCCCTAAGTACTGGTAGACCAAATTCTTCACTGCATTATAGTTAGGATTGATGTATTTCTGTTCGATCCCGTACTTGATAATGGCATCCTTCGCTGCATATTGCTCAGGTGTTGCTGGGTCATCTAAACATAGTGTTTATTAGTTTTACTAGTCTTATTTCCCGGAATTATATTTCCACTTTAGGCTAGGTCTAAAAGGGGTTATAGCATTGTAACAAAGCTATTAGTGATTGGCGGGGCTTGAAACCGAGATCCAGGGGACCGAAGTCCAGACCTCTACCACTAGACCGGCTTGCAAGCCCATGACGTGTGTCTTTTAGAGCACTGTGTATTTTTTCATTGATACCAAACTAAATGCAAGGAACAAAATGGATAATCATCTACATCTGTAGTCCACATCCAACAATTTCAATTAGAAAATGTCAAAGGTTAATTTAATTTATTTTACTCGGAAACCCTTTTAAGCAAGTGGCGATGATTATATCTATTGATTTGTTCATTTCGAGTAAATAAAACCCCACATTAACACAGAAACTCTTAGTTAGTTTTTGCTGTATGATCTATTAAATGTATATACACAACTAACCAGCATGGCCCAGTCATATACTACACTTTACCTTATAGTGTAAGATAATTTTAAGGCTATTAGTGTTATTGATACAAACATGTGTTGCAAATAGTTGAATTTAAATACCAACCTTGGAAATCCATGCCTATCTTAGCAATGGTAATGAACTTTCCTTTTAGTCCAATCTCATCATAGTATGGGTCATAGTTGGAGGTGTTCTTGAGCCAACCTCTGCCCTCATATATGGTTCCATCCGGGGCAATGTAGAAACTAAAATAAGGTAAACTTAGCAAAAGAAAATAAAATTCCATAATACAGTAATACTTGTAAGTACTATTTTAAATCGAGAAGTTTAAATATTTCTTGAAGAACCTTTTAAAGTTGGATTTTTCTAACATTATAAAGAGTAATTTAATCATGAATAGTTTTATTTTAGAATGTACCTAAAACCTAAAAAAAACCCTACTAAAATAATCATATTCTTAGTGGATTTCTTAAGTAATTAATCGTTCCTACCTTCGTATCATTAGCTATGTAGCTCTAGCCGTATATAACTGCCATGTCCTTGATTACTCTTCCATAATTTAATAGAACAGCCATTTTTTTTTGTAGTTTGTTATTGTTTTTATTCCAAACTAAATACAATGTTGGTTTTATACTTTAGATTTTTATATTTAATTAGCTATTGCGCATTAACAATTTAGGGTTTACAGCACCTGCCATGCATTTTTAAAAGGTAAGAAATATGTGTTGATAATTACAGGTTTCGGTGGAATGTAACTATCAAATATATCACGAGCCCAGGAAATGCATGCATCCTTATGATTAGCTTCGTTGGTGGTATCATTACCGGATACATGTCCAGAGGATATGTGTGTCTAGTGTGTAGGTGTGTGATAAAACCATAAACAAAGCCAATCAAGTGGATTTAATGTATTGCTGGAATAAATGTGTTTGAAAATTGCAATTATCCGGAAAAACAAACACATGGCTGTTCGGCTATTCGGAGATGCATGACAGGTACAACATGCAAACCAATTATAGGCAAAATAGCAGTTCCGAGTATATAACAACAAACTTTTGTATTTTTAAACTAATTCCAGCCTTTGATGAATTGAACATACTTATGCTTCATGTCGGCCATTTCATGTATACCCATGTGGCATTTCTGCATGAAGCGCATCAGCTGACAGCATTCCTCCTTGTCGTGGCAGGACAGCGAGGCTGCATGAACAAACGCCACGTCCCTTACTGGAGGCTCCAGAGGGTCCAAGTGACAGGGAGGCATGGCACCCCACTCGGTCCGCGTAACCATCGCCAGTGTCATCTTGCTGGAGAAGAGACTGCTGGAAAATTCACAATTTACATACTTAACTTTACGTTGTGGAAACATTTCTTTACGTAGGTTCCAAGACCAGACTTTTTTTGTAAATTACACTGAAGTATAAAATTTAAGGAGATTCATATGTCTAAATACCTATTAATGATTAGTTGATGAAACTGTAAATACGACGTTCATCAAAACCAATCTTTATTGAAAACCATGCGTTTTTTATGCATCTTTATTATCTTTCAATGTTTGGATGTTTCTTTCTTTCTAATTAATGCTAAGTAGAACGTATTTGATATTAAATTATTGAATTCATACTGAAAAATAATGTTCTATCATGTTTTATGAAATTAAGAAAACTAATTCAATCTTTTTTTTCAAAAGCCCTACATAATTTTGGATGCTTAGACCTAATAAGGTGAACAATTATCCAATAAGGATTTGCAATCCATATTTCTTTTTTACTTCTATGTTTACACATTTGTTTCCCAAATTCTTTTAGAGGCTATAGTTTTTTTTTTATCTGTCTAGTACAATTTAAATAGTGATTTAATTTAATAATTTACTCTCAAAATAGCACGGCCAATTGCCTCACTTGGTGAACTGTTAGGCTATAAGTAGTATGTCATAATTACTGAGACTTAAGCATAGTTAATTTTAAACTCACCTGAAACCTTTCAGGAATACTGTATGACACTTTATTCACATTTTACCACCTATTTATATATAAAGAGAAATAAACAATGACTATCACATATTACTTAAAATAAAAATAACAACATCTGTTTGGAAACAATTTAAGAACGTGAAACCCAAATTTGACAAGAGTGTGCAAACTTTCATCACATAACCTTGGGCTTGACACTGCCGACTTGCATAATTCAAACCAATCGATTAATAAATAGTTATTATTTATAAAAATAGTAGTACAACAATGATATGTTCATTAACTAATACAACAGAATAATACAATTTATCTTTCAAATTTGAAACGTCTTAAGGATTATTAATTGTTGCTAATTACAATAACTATACTTACTTTGTCACTGGTTTACATACACTCGCACGTTTCTGTAGCAAATCATTGCATGTTTGTGTCTAGAACTATCACTTCAGTCACACTTCTGATAAAACTGTTATCTTTTATTTTTTTTTCTCTCCGTGAAGTGGTGAATAAAAATTATACAAGACTAATGTAGTGTTAACAAAATAATAACAATGTAATTAGTAGTTGAATGAACTCATATATTTATGTTTGAAAGAACTCTCTCTTATTTAATTCAGTATAATTCCATACTTAGCCTAAACATGTGTCATATTTATAAACAAAAGCTATGATACATAAGAACAGGAAGTATGGTAATTGGTAAGTATAAATCTTTTCGAAAAATATTTATTTTAAGTTGATAAACCCAGTTCGTTCGTATTATAGAAACATATAAATAAGTAGAAGGCCTTAACAATGTTGTTATTATATAATCGAACTATTGGTCCTATTTGTCACTAAATATGTACTAGGTTCAAAGTCAATCGTTTTATCTCTAATACTTTATTTCTTTAATACTTTATATATGGTTTCTGAAGAATGGACACATTTGTAAAATCACACACAGGCAGGCAGTAAACTAGGCACTTTAGACCCATTTTCATCCGATATTTGTTATTCATTTGAGCTTATGAAGAATAACTCAAATTCTTTCCAGGGGGTTTATATACACCCTGTATATATTTTTATAAACTAACGATGCTTTTCAACTATGGAGTTTTTAACATACTAAACAAATGTGTACTCTTTAATGTAATGCATCCTAATGACCTTTGTAGACAGGGAGGTTACGCCAGAAATTACGGTTATTTTTATAAGAGTATTCACTAGTTTTTCAACGCTCACCCTTTAAAACAAAGGTTGAATTAAAAGTGATTTTATAGTGAAAGATTATATAGTGAAGTGATTATATAGCAAGATTAGTTTTTTTTTATGAGTAAGAGTTTAAGCATAGTAAATTGCAATTAATGAGTCCCAACTCCCAGGTTTATTTTATTTTAAATTCAACAGCAAAAACTGTTAAACTCCCACATCTAATTTCTTTTCTTAATTTAGATCTGAACCGTCCATTTGAAATCCTACCTTTGAAGCTTGTCCCAAGAGCTGAATGGGGAGCTCAGGCCGCTACGTCAAGAGAGAGATACAAAGAGTATCCCATTCGATGGGTCGTTGTTAGGTTTACAGAGTCGGAGGAGTGCTTCAGCAAAGAGGAATGTTCAAAAGTGCTTCAGCGACTTCAGCGAGAACAGATGGAACAGGGGCTTACAGACATAAAACACAAGTAGGTATGGGGTGGGAAAGTAGTATGTTGGATGGTATATAGATATCTTCAACAGTTAATAGCTTTGCCATAAATTATTCCATTACGTGACGTTAAGAGGATTGAACTCGTCACTGTCCGAAAGAAAGAAACTATAAATCCTAGGTGTTTTATTGGATGGTTCTTGATAAACATACTTAATTGAGTAAATATTTAGTTTCAGAAATAAACTGTTACTGATTGCTATACTTGAGGGAGGAAATTAAAAATAACGTAGGTAAAGAATTCGTGTTACTTGGAAAACCTTTCCTGGAAATATACTTTACCAACGTTAACTGTAATTAAGTTGGGCATTGTATATTGTTTTGTTTGAAATGAAATGCCATTCACAATTTAGACATAATATTAAAGTGATGGCTCTTAGTGAACTGCGTAAAGTAAATTCATGGAAATACTATTATTAAGTGTGTGAAAAACGTTATGTGGATATTTATAGGGATGCAATGTCGATAAGATATTCCCTGGTGTGGATTAATGTCTGCACTTGTGAGTATTACGACTATCCACAGTACTAACCTAATAATTAGACAAATTCGTAAAATACCAAGGCAAAAATGTGGATGGATTCCTCTATAAAACTGTAGTTCCCTTGGTTGCCCTTAGCTGTATGGGCTATTAATTAACAACTGTGTATGTCGGCCTTAGTCACTAACAGACTACAAGATCGTGCCACTCATCCTACACTCATCCTTCACTCATACTTGGCTTAAAACAACTACTTATATGGTCACAGTTTCCCAGAAAAGTATTAAAATAAGTAAAGTATTAAAGATATAATCTGTATTTATTGTATGATAATTTTAGAACGATAATTTATTAACGCAATTTCATTGTAAAAACTTCATTACTGAAAGCTTATTTATTTTATTGACGTTAACAAAATTAACAATTAAAAGTTATCCATTCTAGAGTTACTTTCAATTTTGATGAATAAAATTGTTGCTCACATTGAAATTATGTTTTATGATAGCGGAATAAGTTTTAAACAAGATACAGTTTTGAAAAGTTTTAATGAAGTTGTAAAATCAAATAATTTATCTCCACCAATTACAGAGTCGTAATCTAGAGCTTGGAAACATCATTTTAAGGGCTCGCTATAAGCTTATATCGTATTTTATAAGATATTTTCTTTATTGAAACAAAAGCAAACTATTAAAACAATCTTTAAGTATTACAACAAAATCAGTCCTACAAAGAGGTTGATATTTTTAAAATGATATACGAGACACATGGAACAAACTACGAACTTTAAATTACACAATTGAAATAAATAAATATTTTTAAACACCAACGAGTCACTCTTTATTCTCTCTAATCAGAACAAAATACACAAAAAGATACAATTGGTATTCTTACACATACTTTAAACAACAATAATTAATTCAAGGGAATACATAAAAGTATACAATATTTGAACACTATTTAAATTTATTTTTGGTTCTCAGATTTGGCTGTCATCATAGTCTAACTGTTTATATTTTGTTTTAATTTAAATATAAATTAATCCAAACTAGAAATGAATTTCACTCATGTTCTGTAAAGTGAACACCTCGAAACGCTCAAACTAGAAGGACTAGTTATGAACAAGTACATTAATTCTATGAAATGAAAATGAAATGAAATGAAATAATGCTTATTTCTCAACTGAAAAATACAGTTCATGGTATTTTAACATAATAAATTAAACAATCCTTGACTTAAAAATAACTTACAAAATAATATTAAAACTAAATGGCACAAAGAAAAAAAAAACCTTATCAACTTATATGGAAATTGTCTACATATGCAGGGCCTGTGCGTAGACATGAGTTGCGGGTAATTTGTTTAGTGAGTGGGAAAATTATTTTTGGAAATAATTGTTATGACTTGGCCCATTGATTTTACCTTCGACTTTATAAATGGCCAAGGTTAATTGTCGTGGTTTTATCTACAGCTTCATGGTAGGAGGCGACTGGTCTGTGTATGAAGGAAGAGGGTGGAAATACAAAGCAGGAGATCCCCTCACTCCGGACGTCGAAGGGGTGTGTCTTGACGTTGGCTACATCGGACCCTCCCCTCAGATCAGGCAGAGTATGTATCTAGGGTTGAATTTTATTGCTTCTTTAGCACATTTAATATGTAGGGAGTAAGGTATTATTCTGAGTCATAGGGTAAGACATGGATCAGGGACCGATTAACATTTGATGTCTCTAGAGGTCAAAAATACTTCAGTTCAAATTTACACACATATTTTATGTGTCCGTTTAGCATGAAATTTCGAGTCAAAATCATCCTGTTTTGATGTGAAAATCTAAATTTATTCGAACCGGTTCACAAGCGTAATCAGACTAAAAGGATAAGGTTAGTATTGGGTAATAATTGGAGTTTCCCATTTTTGACTCCCCCAAAATTGTGCAATTTCTTAAACTATTTCGTAGAGCTTAAAAGACAAATACATAATCTAGGTTATTGACGTGTTGATGATGTATGTCTAATGACTATGGACTATGGATGGATAAAAATAAAACTCTAAGGTTTTCATTCCTATGTTATTCTCACAGAAAATAAATAAACTTTTGTTTTTTGCATTTTTATGTGTGTATTTTGAACGTATTGAGCTAATTTGTTTATTCACTACTAAGCTATTATCATTTCAATAAAATAAATACACTCATTATTACCTTCCCTGTAGCAGAAAACGTAATTATTCACGAAATTTCATATTTTAGTAGGAAATAAGTCGGCCAATTTTTAATTTGTATTTTTATAAATATCGAACCATGTATACTAAAGTTTGTTCAGTCTACAGGTTTGACGGGGCAAATGTCACTATTTTCACCATTTCCTACGTTTATTTTAAAGAGAACAAAATTGTTAACAAAGTGCAGAATAAGTTATACAAGAGTATCTCATTTGATTTTATGTGGACAACAATAAACGACACAATATCTACTTGGCTAATAGTTACATGTTAAATTATCGTAGTTACATCACACATACTTCCAGAACCCGGTATCAAAGAAAAAGTTCACAAAAAAAAATACTGTTTTGAGACTGGGAATAATACACAAACTTCATTTAATTCATATTCAATTTTTTTTCTGTTATAAGGAAAGACAATGATTAAAGTAACGATTTACTTTGTTTTTCCAAAGTCAAGAAATTTAAATGAAATTGTTTTGTGTTTCCTACACTAAAACTTGAAAACTATCTTCATTTAATATTTGGATAGTTTCATTTGTACAATATATCTAAACAAGTTGTTAAGTGTCTTTATAAGTCACATGGTATATTATATTAGATTGTTTTAATTAGAAAGTTATTTTATTAGTTTCAATCATTTACATTTTATAGAAAAAACAGCACACCTATGTATCCTTAACAAATAGTTCACCATATAAATATAGTACCGAAATATAATTGTTTACGTTGATATACACTAATCTATTCCATTATTTTCAGTTAACTATCCATCAATCGAAATGAAAAACGCATACCACAGAATATTGGAATTCGGAGTAAATCATGGACTTGTAGATAGAAATTTTAACACCGATTCAGAATTTTCAAGTGACCGTATCCATGCAATACTGGATCCCTATCTAGTGAGTGATGTGTTGAAGGGTGATGACTAAGGATAAATCAATGGTGAAAAATGCAATTTCTATCTAAGGTGTTACAGTTTTCAGCAGAAACTAATTGAAACTCTCAAATTTTAGATATTTCGTATGTCTTCTTCTTCAAGGGAAAGGTATCTCGTATGCTATTGGTCTTTGTCTCCATGGGTCCCAATTGCGGTTGGCAAGCACTGGCAGAAATTGGTAATGTTTTCTAATCAGGCGTGGCTTGTGTCGTTGTCCGTATCTAATAAGCTCTTGCATTACTTCCATTACCTTTGTACCAGGAAATGCTCCTGGAATTTAATATACATTACCATTAATTAAAGTAAAATAAAACCTTTATTCTGTTAAGTGTTATCTAATTTATTACATTTAGATTATATTCAATGCTGTACTAATGTTGTTTAATTTATTTTAAAAATTACCTTTGCGCTTGGAAATGCTTTTAATGTAATACTATTGTACATGTAACTACTAATGAATACATGTTCATGTACTAATGAAATGTGTACGAGTGTAATAGAATTGTATTACTAATGCATTGCATAAAGTAGAATAAACTCTTTATGATATCAACCACTATCCAACTTACTGCAGTAACACTTCATTCAACGCAGTTTCTAGTTTAATATTGATATTTTTCAATAGGATGGAAAATGTACAATATTCATATAATCTAAGTTACATATACAGGGTGAGTTTTAAATGAGTCCCCCCTACTTTTTTCCACATTTCAAGATATCAAATCAGGACCACGTCAGATCATTAAAGAGTAGTAAGTACTTCATTTTGACTGGGTATAAATTTTTGGCCGCCATCTTGGATCCACCATATTGGATACAAGGTTATTTTTTCAAATGTAAAGGTAGGGTTGTGACCCATCGTTTTAAGCTACATTTTTATGCTAAATACGATGCTGCAATTTGTTTTTTAAAATCTTTATCCATTCTAAGGTTATGAGAACTTTTTATAACATTATTTTTAGCCCATTTTAACATTGTGCATTTAGAAACTAAGAACATAATCGCAAAATAGTGCTAGAAAAAGATTTATGTATATTATGTGGTGTATACTTATCTTTATCTAGTACTATTTTGCGATTATGTTCTTAGTTTCTAAATGCAAAATGTTAAAATGGGCTAAAAATAATGTTATAAAAAGTTCTCATAACTTTAGAATGGATCAAGATTTTAAAAACAAATTGCAGCATCGTATTCAGCATAAAAATCTAATTTAAAACGATGGGCCACAACCCTACCTTTACATTTGAAAAAAAAAACTTTGTATCCAATATTGCGGATCCAAGATGGCGGCCAAAATTTTATACCCAGTCAAAATGAAGTACTTACTACTCTACAATGATCTGACGTGGTCCGGAGTTGATATCTTAAGAAGTGTAGAAAAAATTAAGGGGGAACTAATTTAAAACTCACCCTGTATACATTCTAATAAAAAAGCCACAATAGAACGTTGAATGTGTTCATTACAGCTGAATGATGGAAAATTGGAAAAATAGTAAGTTAAAAATATTTCTCATATAAGTGTATTTTAAATCAACTAAATTCCCTTTGGAACTGGTGTAAATATTTTCCAAGCAATTTAATTTACTTTAAATGTACATACTTACCCTTTTTACGCTTATGTTTGCCGATGTAGCATATGTCGAATATTTCATCTTCTATTTCCGAATATTGTTTGTAAGTCTCGGTGGATGCAGTGTGCCACCCCCTCCCCTCATATAACGTTAGGTCTTTTGTAATGTAGAAACTGCAATGAAAAGCGCTAAATTTTAAAGAATGTAATTCTTTAGATTATGATAATACTTGTTAAAATGCTAACAGATGTGCCAGGTAGGCAGTAGAAAAAGCCTAACAAATAATTTAAGGTATTTTGGTTTAAAAGAAATTGCAATACCGGTATGGAACTTTAAATTTGTGGTGACACGGAAAAAACATATTAAAAATGCCCTCTCAAATAACCAGAGATCAAGAGGAAGTCCATAAGATTCCCTTTAAGGTTATTCAAGTATATAATATTATTCACGTTCAAGCGTCTATATTTCCAATTAAAGCAAATCTTCTTTGGGTACAAAATCGAGGCTAAGCTCTTCTCGGGAAAATATGTTACGTAGTACACTAATTATATCGAAAATTCAAGTTCCTTACAATTTTATTACCATTCAAAGGAAAATAAATAAACTTATTTTAAACAATGCTCATGACACGTACTGAGTTTGAAATACAAAGTTACTTTAATTTTTAATTTGCAAAGGAAATGTGTTTATTACGAAATTCAAAGTGTTTTTATATTTTGACTATAAAACTATTACCGGAGTTTGGCTGTTTAATTACAGGACACCTTGTGTATTTGCTTATGCACCAAATTATACTTCCGACATATACAGAATACACATATACATATTACCAATTCGTGCATTACATACTAATACTTCCCACCTATCTAAAACCTTCTCACACCTCATTACTCCCACTTATTTGTGCATGTACCTACTTATACTGTATGTCGGGCATGCCTTGTCGATACATATCTCGCATCTGGAGCTCTCTCATGGCTTGCATGCAGTCCTTCTTGTTCCTACATGTCTTTGTGTTGGACCATACAAACATCCACATTCTCACTGGGGTCTTCAGTGGTTTCTCATACTGAGGAGGTATAGCTCCCCACATCTCCCGGGTGTATATGTTGAGGGGGACTTCATAATCCTCGTCGTACCTGAAGAAATATGTGTAATATGTGATTTTGTTATAAAAATATCCAATAAATACATTTTAATCAAATACCATAGATGTTAACATTCCTTAGAAAATTCATTTTACTTTAAATATTAATAAATAATTTGTTCAGAGTTTACACATAATATAAAAAAATGTATTCGTATAAAATATGTTCTTATAAATACATAATGCTTACTACTACTAACAACTGTTCTACGGATACACAAAAAAATCTTATATCGTAGGCTACAAGTTACCATTCTATTTTTTTTTTATTGCATTAATGTGGCATTAAAGTGTGTTTCAATTTTCTTCAAGTCAATTAGGATTTGGTATTTTTTACTAATCATTTATTAATTATAATTTATCAAATTAAAAATAAAATTACTATTTCTTGTCCCATGTTAGTTAACAGAAATGAATTGTTTTCATCTATAGCTCACGATAATTTGTTTGACTTCTAAACAAATAGGCAATTTTTTTGACAATATCCCAGTTTTTATAAATATTGTACCACGTGAATTTATTCAACATATAACCTTTAAATAGGAATATAACGGAATTAGTTAGTTTTCAAATAACGATTTCTGAATAGTTACTGTCCTGCGTTAACTGAAATTTTTATTGCATGTTATTCTTTACAGCTCTTGGGCATTAGTATACATCATATAAGTACAATTACATTAATCAAGTTTAGAGTGTTACCAAAATTTAACACAAATCAAAATTATACTCTGCACGATGGAACCTGTCTCCTGACCCCTCCATCTGCCAGGGAACTGGAATACAGAGGCCCAGGTAGAAAACGTGTTAGGAGACAGGTTCCACCATACAGACTATAGCCAATCATTTTGCATAAGAAACAAACGCGTTTATTGATGACAAAACACAAACACATTAATTTGATCAAAATGTAAATTTCATTAAATAATTAACTCGGTTGTTATTAAATAATTAACTCGGTTGTTGTAGTACCAGTGCGTACGCTAAAGTTCAGATAATCTTTAAATATATGAAACCATCGTTCGGCGAATTGGTAAGAATACCATATCAATAAACCTTTATTTAAAGTCACTGAATTGTCCTACAAGGTCCCTTAAGAATCACTTAAGATAAAGACAAAATAAAGTAGAGCCCTAGAGACATTATTCCCCTATCAGCAATTTTACTTTACTTGTTTACTGTCTTCTAATGTCGTTTGTTCCAATTTACGTTTACAAAGATTTATACTATGTAGAGCAAGTAGTAATAACACACAAAGTACGTTAGTTCAGATTCGCTCGGCCATTTTATGGGTTTCTTGTTAATTTCTTCCCAATTTTCAATCTCGGATTCGGTGTCAATCCACTCCATTTTGAAATCTCAAGGTTTCTAAAACATTAGAAAATTTAGTAGTTTAAATTCTAAAAGGTTTACTGAAAAACAATGTAAATTAAAAGGTTCAAGGCGTTTAAGTGTTTCCGTACTTACGAAATAGAGTATGCCTTTTACTAGATGTTAAAATAATGTTTAAAAAGAGCAAATCATAACGAAACAATATCGTATGTAAAAGGTTAAATACAAGATCAATTGGTTTGATAAAAAGTGTTTTTTGTTGTTCTGTAATGGTAGACAGATATGATTCATTTGGCAATATTAATAATTAAATTGTGCTGCATCATAAAAGAAGGCTTGGTAAAAGACTAAGGAAAGTTTGAAATGAATTGTTCCTTAACAAGATGTGTAACAGTTATATTATTCAAAACCCTATATTCAGAGATTTGTGAATAACCTTTATGGTAGTTAATGATGTTACAACTACCATAGATACTTTTCAAGACTTAAAAACATCTTAAAGTATTTTGACACAAGGTTATCAACTGGTAAACAGGATACTTACCAATTTTGGTTATCCAAAAAAACTTTATATTGAGATCACCGTTTGTTGTCCTAAATTTAAATAACAAACAAGTTGATAAACTATTATCTTTAACTATTATCTTATCACTGGTATTGCTTGAGTTCAAGTTGATACTCACTCTTTAGAGAGTGTAAACATTGTTAAGTAACTTTTGTTTCATTTGTTTTTAAAGGTGGTTAGTGCCCATAGTTGCCTTTCACATAAGCCTTGGAACTGTGCGTGGAACGTATCCAGCAAAACAAGGGGTGAGCCGGTACAGTACAAGGGTGAACTGTACTGATAAAAAGTAGTGGCAGGTACTGTACCAGGATTCGAACCTACAACATTGCTGCCTCGGGCCCGTTGTCCTTAATGCTACCAACTGACTTATTGATTCACAAATTTTCTTGTTGCAGATTAATTTACACTTTTCCTTCTGAAAATCCATTAAACATTTTGGTGTAACATCGCAGCTACTGTAGTCTTGATCTTTACTTTTATGTGTAGCAATTAAATTTATTTATCTTTTTTTAAGGTCGAATTTCACTGTGTGTGCATCGTAAGTTCTTATTTTATACAAAAATTGTGAGTAGTAAATTATTTGTTAATATATTAGTAAATTATTTGCTAATATATTAGTAAATTATTTGCTAATATATTAGTAATATTAGTAATATATATTAGTATATATTAGTTAAATTCCAAGAGATGGATAATTGAAGACTAAATGCCCTTAATAAATTTAGGACATAGTTAATAGCTGTAGTTAGTATTGTCATTAGCTCACTTACGAGCTCATGTTTACTATCCATGTCATGTAGGCCTAATGTTTGAACTGTGCTATTTAACTATTATCTAAAATAAAAACGAACATTTGTCAACGTATGTTTGATGTAAAAATAAGGGGGTTTATCTGGATTAGCTTTTTTTCTTTGAGAGTTGACACGTAAGCTGGTGTAGGGGTTTTTATTTAAGGCAATATTGTTAATGTCTCTTTTGATTTACGAAATTACAGTTGTATCGGTCCACATATAAAATAAGGGTTCAGTTTAAAAAACAAGTCAACTTAAAAAAAAAACAAAAAAAAAAAACAGTAACGTTGTGTTTGAATGGCTGTAAGTAACTAAAATATATTACTTAGTAGTTACTCATAAAAATGTATGTATTTCAAATCAGTTCCATCAAAATAAAAATAAATAAATAGCATTGACTAAACGTAGGTCGATTCATGTATTCACTACACACTTGTGAATTAAACCCTGATTATCGACTGTCATTGATAAACCATTATATTGGTAAATGCATTACCTGTATAACAGACGTGCAAGTGATATTATGTAGCTATAATCTGTATGATTGAACCTGTCTCTTGACCTTCCATCAACCTGGGGAAGGGGAAATAAACAGGGGGCAGGTTATATCATACATACTATAGTAGTTTATACAAAAAACTTTATAATATAACAATAGTCATTCTCTTTGTAGTTGCAGTTTTTATTTAGTAAAATACCAAAGACTGCCTACAGATATGCAGCATCAGAATCGCATTAGAACCAAAGGGGTACAAGGAAATGAAAACGTCAGAGTTACATTTAAATTACATTTAATATATTACCTTGGTCGCCGGAAATACCGTATATCTATGTAGTTGTGTCTGAATCCATACATGATCAGGGCGTCTCTTACGTGCATTACGTCTAGCTTAGGGAATCTCTCTGTAAAAAAAATTAAAACTGAGTAAAGATTTGCAAGTAAAATACTTTTGTACTATACATTTAAAATTTAATTGATAAAATATTAAGCTTAAACTAGACTATACCAGGCAAATGATTTTAACCTCTTATGTAGTGCCGGTGTGACGTTAAATACATTTTTTTGTCACGAGTTTAAGATAACGACGAAGACAAAGCGTAAGGTTAAAAATTGAGCAAGGATCAAATACCCCCGCTGCAGCAAACCTGCAGACTAAGCGAATTTACATTTACCTGGCTGGAATTTTACTAAATTTTAGTGAGTACTTAGGTTTGCTGCTACAGGGAACATATTGAGGTGTGATATTATTGCAATGTTGATAGCTTTATTCAATAAACCAAATTTCAAATTGGTTAAAATATATCAATAAACAAGCAAACTACAACAGTAATTTATTCTCTATAAGAATAACATGGGAATTTTCAATTTACAGGTTTTTAAATTATCTCCGTAACCGTTGGACATACTACAACGCATCCTTATACAAAATTATTTCTTTTTTTAATCTCTACAAAATATTTTGGAGAGAAATAATGAAATTTTGTGTTTTTATGGTCAAAAATTGGAAACATCAATTTTTATTTAGTAATTTGGCCAAATATGCAATGCATTCAATACAATTATTCACGCCCCAGGATTAATAAACATGTTTTCAAAATTATGTATCATGCTAATTAGGGTGCATTTACAGACAAGTAATTAATAACACTATCCTGAATAGCCGATCAATTAGCAAACGAAATCTGAATACCTCCTTACCACACCTCATTAAACCTATAATCCGATTAAGATTAATTAGTCTCCTTTGAACTTATGGCTGTGATAAAATTTGGTACAGCTTGATATTATTTTTATCAAAGGTTCTCAGGCAATATATTAAGAGTATATTAAGAGTAAAAATGAGGTATTTACTGTGAGTAAAAATCTAACGAGTAAAACACTGAAATGGATAAGGACAAATCATTTTCTATGTCTCTTTTTAATGTCTGACCTTCATATCCAAGGAATCTGGGATCTAGCCTGGAGACGTTTTCACATTACTTCAAGCTGAACCAAGAGCTTCCATTATCGTTTTGATAAAATTTATTGGTGACCAATGGGACTTAAACCCGGGAGTTCGGGAAACGAAGTCCCGTTTTCCAAAACAATTTTGCTTCCAAGGATTTACAGTCTTGGGTGTGGATTCGTAATAAACTTGAAACTCTTCAAATGTTTTAGAGCTATTATGCTCTATCGGTAAAAAATGGTTGGTTTTTAAAGTAAGAAGTTAAGAAGTTTAAAGTTTATCATTTTTGGTAACCCAACAAAAAATCCTACTTACCTAATTCATTTACGCCTATGTACGCTATGTTTAAAATCCTCTCCTTCTTGTCTTCAAACTGTTCCCAATCTTCGTGTGGTTGAATATCCCATCCTCTTCCTTCGTAGACATTCAGATCGTCCCCAAGCATGAAGCTGAACATATGAAATGTCAGGAAAGTATTTTACTTACGTAAATAAATGCATAAATATTGACTAAATGAAACAGAATTACAACAAAGTTTGTTTGAAGGCGTATGCCTATAATACAATAGTTACATTGATGAAGTACGTCATCGAGAATTTCTTGACATTTGCCTATTGGGTTTGATGATAATTGGAGTGTCCAATCAAAATCAATCACCACTAACCATCTTTTATATGTGTTTACCATCTTGTGAGTAACAGTATAAGCGTAAATATATTATTACAAGCGCTAATAGACGTATATCTTTTTTTCAGGTAACACTTACGATGCTGATCAAAATGTTATTCCGCTTCCTTTAAGTAAAACCATAGTAAAACTGGTCACTGCTGCTGGTACATGTAGACGTATAGTTTAGGTTTCAAATACAATGCCTAGATTACTATTTCTGTATGAAGTAACTTGTCTACTGACCCTGTTTCTACCTAAGAAACATTGTCTTACCCCCAGCTACACCTCCGTGACCAGACAGGTTCCGTCATACAGTGTATACATGACTTACTTGAAAGGAATGTCCGGAAGACCCTGGTCAATTGAGTCCTTCTGCATCTGACGACAACTAGCTGAGCATTCTTCGTAACTGCTGCAGGGCTCGGTATTTGTAAAGGTAAACATGACGAAAGGTGTCGGATACTGCAGAGGTTTCAACGATTCTGGGTCCTTTGGTGGCAAAGCCCCCCATTCGTCCCTTGACACTATGCGTTTTAAGTAGTCAATACATCTGTAATGGGGTATGGAGCCTGCGTTTGGAGTCAAAACCACTGGATGTTGCTGTGAAGAGAAAAAAAATTAAGTACCATGGTAAAATTGTAAATCATTTAATTGAGCGTTAATTAATCCCAAAACATTATATTTTTCTTAGTAATTTTTTTAATATATTATTTGTTAACCCCCCCAATACTAATTATGAGTAATTAGCTGTAAAATAATAATTAAAAACTAACAGATCTTTTGTGTAAAGAGGCTACTAGCCTCTTTTTTGCCCGTACACATAGGCTATGAATTAGACGTGTGTGGAACGTATCCAGCAAAGCAAGGGCGGACTGTAATGATACACAAAAGGGGTAGGATTCGAACTCAAGACATCTCTGTCTTTTGAGCCCGAAGTCCGTGACGCTACCGACTGATCCACCGGCTCAAACTAACAGTTGATATTAACAAGTATAATTTATTAAATAAGTTTTAAAAGGTGTCAAAAGAAGTAAATGCAATTTAAAAATCCAAAATACCTTATACACATTATGTGTAAACCTATGTAAATCCTTTTTCACTTTGCTAAACAGTTTTTCTTGTTTTTTTTTATTATTATTGAAGAATGTGCCAGTAACCGTACCATTTTCTTTTCTTAGTGTTCTTAAACATCATCTACATATATTTTCCTCAGAGACCACTATATTCCACTATCACCAACTAATACCTTTGGTATATTGCTTCAGGTAAAAACAAGTTAATACTGGTAATACCGGTTCCACTTGAACAAGGCAGAATAGATATACGGTACTATAAAACCTAAGGGAGTATGTTTTATCTAAGATAAAACTAAGCCCTGTGTAAAAACTAATCATACACTTAAACGAACCCACTCATGATGTTATTTATATTTTAATTTTTACGAGATTTCCTACCTTTCTCACAAGATCAAAGTATTTCGTGTTGTCATATCCACTCGAAGATGACAACATGTTAAACTGTTGCTTCTCATTCGTGGCTTGGCATTCTGATTATTTTCTACCATTTTCACAAGAAAGATTTCTGTCTTGCATTTCTATTGAGCTGTCTTATCTTTAGTGTTAAAAAGATAATTACATTAGCCTAATATTGATGTTGTTTACTGTTTGAAATGGTGATGGAATCATTTTTTTAGGTTGGTGGCCTGTTTTAACCTTGCATTTGCCCGTCCACATAGACTACAGATATGTGCGTGGAACGTATCCAGCAAAGCAAGGGGTGAGCCGGTACAGTACGAAGGTGATCTGTAGTACTGATAAAATGTTTGTTTCAGTGACCAGGATCCGAACCTACGACATCACTCCCTTGGGCCCGAGGTCCGTGACGGTACCACCTAAACCACCGACTTGTTAATGAACGATTTAGGGGTTGAATAAACTGGTGTAAAAAAGTACTCTGAATAAATAATTTTTCACTCTTGTTTTTAATTTAGATTATTTTTAAAAGTATGTCCATACTAAAATGAATCTTATATTGATTGTACGTTCGTTATAGCTATGAGTTTCCTCTAAAATTGATTCGCCTTCAAACAAATATTTAATGATGAAATGTATAATTACATTTTTATTTTTTACAAGTTCAATAAGGCTAATGTATAATATTTTTGTATTTACTATCACTTTCAGAAACTATTTTTCCATCTTCAGGAATTAGTACACTAGTACAAAAAGTAAATGATAGTAAATAAAATAAAATTATTATATATTGCCCTTTTTGAGCTTGTAAATTTCATTATTAATTGCCAATATCTCCAATATAAGTTATTAAATAGTTAATGATTGACTTTGATTATGTAATGTTCAATGATAATATTGAATCTTTCAATGAACTAACTATTGTAGTGAACGTCATGCTTATTATAATTATATTCATGTAGCTTCACTGAGAACTCACTGTGTTTGCATTTAAATACAAACGTAAGACACTCAATTTTTTACGATGAGACATTTTCGCTGTGAAATATTAGGTGCAAGAGCAACAGGGCAGGTCATTTCATTTTGGCTACACAGATTTCCTTTTACTGGGACACGAGTTTGTGAGTAACTATGTTAGTGAGGACTCGCTACTACTCCCTAGGAAATCAACGCTTTTGTAACCACTTTTTGGCTTTATACAAAACACTACAATCATTTAGAAGGTTTAACGAATATGTGTATGCATATTCTGTACACATTGGATATATTGATAAATTTGTAAAAAAGGGACTTTATAACTTTTGAAAGGAATTTAAAACCATGATTAAATTTGGACGGAAACTGTGTTTCGAATGAAAAGAACCCATTATTTACATATGATACTAAGTTTTTTTTTTGTCAAAATATACTAAATACACGATTTAGATGTAATTGACCAGAGCTTCTCAAATTAAACATGGTATGTAAAATATATCCAAGGATAAAATATATGTATATGGCCGAGGTATGGAGGTATTTGTGTATATTTGTGTGTGTATTTGTTATTGTATTTGTATATTGTGCAGGGAAATCGGTCTGGATTACCCCATTACGGAATAAAGAAATATCAATCTCAAGCTTTTAAGGTAGGGTTAACGTCAGGGAACATTTTGTTCATTTGTGTAATCGTATTGTCATATTATACTGTATAATATATATTATAATCATATTGTGCAGTCTTGAACTTAAAAAAAGGTGCAAGGTTTTTCATAAAAATGCAGAAGACATAAGTTTATAATTTTTTATTAGTAAAGAATTAAAAAAATAATTTAAAAGTACATGTATAAAAACTAGGTTAATAAGATAATTACTGGTTCCAAACGTCGATTCGATCATACCTTGCATTCTCGTCTAAATATCCATGTTCAATTCCGTACAAAATCAAATCATCTCTTATATCTAAGATCTCGATGCAGTAAAAGTTTCTGTCAACTAAAAAAGAAATTAAAACTTTATTAGCTTATTCAATATGCATATGACGTCACGTCATTAGGAAAAGAACGTTCAGACTAATACTAACACATTTTTTGTGAATATTTTTAAATTAATTAAATATCTGCTACCCTGTGTTTGGTATTTGAATGCAACTTACAGTTGAATGATCTTACCAAATTAATATTTTAACAAGTTGCTTTAAGACCTTTAGGTGAAAATTGTTTCTCTTTGTCCTCATTCAGAAATTGAGGTTTTTGTACGGTCGTTGAGTATATTTTAAACTTTTTATAAAAAAAATTCACTACCACTAATTATTGTTTTTATTATCTATAAAATACCCAAATATATCACAGATTAAGCTCAAAGAATACGCCACCGCAACAAACCTGCAGACTAGACGAATTTACATTGTTTAATTGGATTTTAACGAAAATGTGCCCTCAAACATATGCAATTTATCTGCTATTTAAATACCTGTACGTATACCAAGTATTAAGATTTTTATTCGTTGAATGTTAGTAGTGCCATAAAATATATAAATGAGCGAAGGTTTTTTTCGTAAGGATATCATAGGGATTATAAATGCACAGCTGTTCTATGTCTTTTCCGCAACCCTCAATAGTACAACAACGATTTGATGTACTAAATTATTTTTCTTTGTGATCTCTACACAATTGTTGTTTTTAAAATTGGAAATTTTTATATTTCAAGGGTAAACCTGAAAAAAATTAGTTTCAAAATTGTATAACACTTTTTCCCCATTATCTGACCTTCCTGGTTCGCAAACCTATTCAAGTCCAACCCCACCAAGTCCTACCGTGCCATCTATAGCAAAAGCTTCTTCCCTATTGTGAAATTCTGCTGAAAATAGTAAACAATGGAAATAATGAAATTAATCTAAATTATCGAGTACACTCTATATAATCTATGTATAGCATTTCTACTTACTTCCCGCACCCTCTAACCCCATGTAGCCTATGGAGAGGTATTTCCCGTCGTATTCCCTCAGTTTGTCATCCAAGTAAGTGGGTTTCAGAAACCAGCCTCTGCCTTCGTATATACTCAAGTCTCCGCCAACTATGAAACTAAATACAACATTAATGAAAAGATTAAATCGTACTGTTTTGACTTTTTGATACGTTTGTTTGTCAATATATACAGGATGATTCAAAAAGGACTTTACAACTTTGAAAATTCATATAAATCTCATTAAACAAGGTACAGAGCTGGTTTTGGTATTGTTTTAAACAAAAACACTTCAAGTTTTTTTTACCTTAAACTAAAGATGTTCTATGTGACTTCCATTGGATTTGGGAAAAACAATTATTTAGTTATGAAAAAATAGTGAAAACTGTAAAAAATGTGAGAGAAATTTACAAAATTTTTAAAGTAGGGCTTTTTTGAAGTGGAAGGAGTGCGATACACCCACTTTTAGATGTGCTAGGGAGTTGAAATTTCGCACACTTGTAGTTTTTGGTCCCAAACCACCCATAAAATTCCAAAAAGTCGCATTTTCAAATTTTAACCACCCAAAAATCCAAAATGGCGGACCTCTGAAAACGACAAAACACTTTTTTTTTAAATGGCTATAGCTCAAAAACGGTAAGAGCTAGAAAAGATTTGAGGAAAAAACGTTATTCGGAATTAAATTTCCTTCAAGACACCACTTATGCATTTTTCGAAAATTGCACTCCTTCGCCATCAAAAAACGCCCTACTTTCAAAACTTTGTAAATTTTTTACGGGTTTCACTATTTTTTCATACCTAAATAATTATTTTCCCCAAATCCAACGGAAGTCACATAGAAAATCTTTAGTTTAAGGTAAAAAAAAACTTGAAGTATTTTCCTTTAAAACAACACCAAAACCAGCTCTGCACCTTGATAATAAGATTTATATGAATTTTCTAAGTTGTAAAGTCCTTTTTAAATCACTCTGTAGTACAAAAGCAGTTGTTATTTACCACTTGAAGTGAGTTTAAGAATTTAGTTCCTTGCTCAACACCATGTTTAGTACAGTATGGTTAAAATATTTGAGATAGCCATAAAAAATGCAATCCTATAGGCTGTATTGGACTTCGCAACTCCAAATGTATAGAAATAGACTTACATAAACACATGTCGGGAGGTGGAAATTTGAAGAAAATTTCAAATACTTATTGAAAAATAAATTCTTTGTAGACTTTAACACTTATCAAAAACAAACCCAAGGTCCAAAAGAACTAAAATATTTAAAAAATTTCCACACACAACCGATTTCATATAAAATAATAACTTAACATTGCAAAGTATGTCTAAAGAGAAAACAAATTGACATTGACATCGAATAATTTATTCCCAAAAATAATAATAGAATTATTGTTTTGAACATATAGCTATTGCTTCATACTAATAGTATTATATCAAATGAATATGTGGCATTAAGACGTCCCAGCTTGACAAAATATTTGACAGTTAATATATTCACTGGCATTTTTATTTATGAAATATACTGCGAGTTATATTTTTGTTAAAAGTCCTCCTGAATTGTTAACAGATTTAAATGGCCTCGGCATCAAGGGACGAGACTTAACTTTAGCAGTTTAAAAAGTCCATTTTCGCCAAAATTAAGGGGAGATACTATTTACTTAGAGTTCAATTTCTCAGTACTACAGTAATTAATTCTTTGGAACTAGTGTTAGAGTGAAGAATGGCATAATTATCAAATTACATAATCAGAGAGGATTCTTAGAATCGTCTTCATTTTATTTTGGAATTGTGCATTACAATAGCTGATACAATAGAAAAAGATCACTTTCTAAAAGCTTAAAAAATTATTATTTCATTATTCACTTTACATATTATAGGAAACTGTCATACCCTCAGCTACGAATTTCTTTTTATCTTGACTGTGCAAAACTTATTAACTTACTTGTATGCGATGTCTGGTAGGTCCTTGGCAAACATGTGATACTTCTGTAGCTCCTTGATGTTTTTTAAACAAGCCGTTCTCGATATGCATGGATCCGTGTTAGAAAACTTGTAGCCAAAGTATTCTATGGGGTGGTCTATCGGTTCTATTTTCCCCGTTGGTTCTAAAGCTCCCCATTCCTGCCTGGACACAAAGTTGAAGGGGTACGGTTTCGGGGGTTTCTTCAACTCAGTGGGCTTTTGTGCAGGTTTCATTTTTGCAATAGTCTCTTCCATATTTCTATTGGTTTTGGAAATAAAAATGAAGAAAAACTTGTTTACATTTCCTGAAAGCACAAAAAATACTTCAAATAACACTTATAATACTATATTTACACTTATACTGTTACCAGACGGTAAATACAAGAGATGGTAAGTGGTGATCGATTTTGATTGGACATTCCAATCATCATTAGACCCAATAGGCGAATGGCAAGAATCAAAATGTCCCTTATATACTATTTCTACCGGAAGTACCGCCCAGTAACAAGTACGATGCTGATCTAGAAGTTGTTTTATTTACATTTGTTTTGGAATCCCTGAACCTTGCTTTAAGTTAGTTTTAAAACTTGAGTAAAAATATAACGTGTGTATGATTTTTAAGAGAGGATAAGCCTATTAAAAAGTATATAAATAAAAAAAAAACATTTTTATGTTTATAATATTAATAGGATTTTAATATTTTATGCTTATGATGTTTTTGCATAAGCCTATGATAAATGATATATAGCCTATATGTAATTTGTAATTGTAATGATAAGAATATTTCCAATCAGTTGATATAGTAATGTATTAGATTTAAATAACTAAAATAAATTAGAATTTAATTTAAACAAATTTGACATTGGTCTATCTTTGTAGCAGCATGACAATATAGACTAAACTCTCATTGAAAGCTAAGACTCACTACTTACTTTTCTAATTATGTAGTTTATAGCACTTAAACCATTATTGTAACATAGGTTTCGATTTTATTTGATTTGAAAACTTATTAGACATGGCTTAAATATTGTATAACAATAACCCACACTAATTAAAAATGAAAACATTTGCAATGATATTTTTTGTTTAAACAATTTAATACACTTGAACTAGACGACTAATGTATCAATCACTTAATTCAATACACTAAAAATCTATACACGGTTTCCATTTTCAAAATAATCTCACTATATTTATTTACAGCGGGATAACGAGATAAATCTTAATTTTTAAATGATAACTTTTGGTATATATGTCTTTATTTATGTTAGAGACAAAGGGGACTTATTATCACAACTAGATAAGTTATTCTTAGTTAACATCTTATTGACTTGTAATTTTAGCTAGTTCTATTTCTGCATCAGTGTTTTGTTGATGTACTGCCTCATCTCCCTTAACCCATTAACAATAAAATTTACAAGTTATATTTACAGATCATGATTTATTACTCTACTTTATTTATTAAAAAAATTAACAATTTACTAACATTTTATTTTTTAAATGTTAATATTTATGTACATATTATCAAATTTACTTATTCAATCCTATATTTATTTATATTTTATTGTAATATTCTGTATTTGAGAACTAATATTTAACGTTTTAGTTACAGATTTGCAGATGCAGATACTAATGAATAAATTTATAAATATATTTGAACATTGTATTCCTAAGCCTACAAATATAAGTTAAGTTTAATCCTAATATTCTGAGGGAGAAAATACGATGAAATGTGTTCTTCAGATATAATTCCCGGCGGAAGCAGAACGTTTCCCGTCGTCGAGTAATTATTGTTGTACACAATTAAAAGATGTTTTTATATTTTCCCTCTTTCTCTTGGGGAATGCTTTGTTTACCAACGTAAAACATTGTAACACGTGTAAAATAAAGAACAAACATCAGATCAAGTAATTAACAATATTAAATAACAACATTTATAAAATATATATGTTTAGTTTAATATATTACACGCGAAGTCAAGTCTGTTTACTGGTTACCCCATTCGATTAATATTAATTAACGGTGTGCTATTGTTCTTTTAGACCAGCTTACAAAATACTTTTTTGTAAAAGCCTCGACTTACAATAGTAAACTTGTAAGACTTCTAGATATCTAATCAAATAAATTTTTTTTCTATAGTATTACCAATGAAATATACATGATTAAAATTCGATTGATTATTGATACTAAAATGATATAAAAATCTCACATACTGTTACCATTTACTAATAACTCCTAACACTATTTATTCAGTCACACACAGTTTATTTTGTATTTATTAGCCTGTAGTTAATACATTGTTACAAGTTACATTATTGATAGCAAATAGGAATTAGTAAGTATAACATATATTATTAAACATTTACTTTTTATTTGGTTTACAAGCATATTTATTGATCAACAACCCGACTTATAACACAGGTAATGATGTATATTTTTTTAAGTTATAACATTTTAAAATATTTTACTGTTATAAACAATACCAACGCCAATTGAAAGGTTTTGCTGTAGTATATACACAGGTTTACATTATAGCTACATGAAATAACTAAAGGTAGTTTATTAGTTTACCGCTATACTGATGAGACTATTAATCAGCTTATCATAAGTATTCTTGGTTCTTTTTTATCAAATTTATCCTATAAATGAATAATAACTAAGGAGGTTCCGGAAATTCCGCCTTGTATTCTTCTTCTCTAAGTACAGGATCGTCCATGGGGTTGTAGCCTGTGAATTTCGGTCTCAATATATGAACATGATCCTCCCACAGAGTGGTGATGTTGAAGTGTTCGTGCATAAAGTTCATTTTCTTGGCCCATATGATCAAATCGCACCCCACTTTGATAAGCTCTGGACTGAGCTCTTTATCTTGATGGAAAACATACAAATTAGTTATTCAAAAATGATTTTATTTTGGGAATCTTAGCAGTGATTTTTACCTAATGAGAGTAGGTTTTATTGAACACAAAAAAATGCACTGAAGTTTGTTTGAAACTATTTAACAAATTAAAAAAGTTAGTAATTAGTGTGTTGTATAGGTCACACTTCAGTTTCTAAACTTTTGGTCACAATTAATTCAACATCGATAAATATGATCGTTTTGGCTTTAAACTAGGCATGTTCAAGGCATTAACATAAATCCTGTTGTTATTCACAGTTTTTTTATGAATTTTACAACTGTTTTTATATATTTGTAAATGTTTAGGAAGCGTATATTGTCCTAATTCTGCTGAATGGACTGAATCATATTGAAAGTGTGAATTATTATAATAAAAGTGTGTTCATTATATCTGGTATTTATAGTTGTGGTTGTTAGTTAAATGTTTAAAAACAATACTTATTTGATTAATTTTCTGACACACTTATCATCACGAACAAAATATAATCTGACTGTTCATCAATTTAATTATTCAAATACATTTTTGTTGTCATTAATTTCATTTATGATTATTATCAATCATTATTTGGAACATTTACCATTGATTCTCCGTATGGTAAGTAAGGTTTATAAAGGTTTCCGATTGTTTATTCACAAGCCAAAATGCATAAAAAATCTTTTAAAGTTGTACAATACAATTCTGAATATGTTCACTTTAGTGTCATATCGTTCATCTAACTTTTCAAGGAATTCACCCCCTTATAAATTACAATTGGGTCGAGAAAATATACCTATAGTTTTTCACGTTATTTAATCTTTTCCCTGGAAGATTTGTAATTGATACATACCTTCAAAAGTGCCTATGTAAGCAACGTCCACACTTCTGTTTGCTGTTTCGTAGTTATCGCTGTCCTTATCAGCTTCCACTTCCCAGCCTCTGCCCTCGTACACTGTCCCGTCTCCTCCGATGTAAAAACTATAAAATATCCAGATTGTAGTGTATTGGCTCGAATTCATTATAAATTTATCGATTTGCAATTCGGTCTTTACGTATTATATCTATCACACCTAATATAACCTAACCTAACCTAAGGGTGGTTAGGTAAAGTTTAGGTAGATTTTGTTTTTTAAACTAATTAAAATCTTATTTGGGAGTCGATTTATAGCCCAGGCAAATTAGACATATGCTCCCCGAAAAATCGTCTAAAGCTGGAAAGTGTTTTAATACCTTTTGGGGGTCCCAAATAAGACTCCTGTGAGTTTGCGACGGATTCTGACGTCTGCTTAAGTTTTGGGAGTCGAAAAACTATGAAAATTTTGCACTTTTTTAGGTTTTTCGCTTATAACTCCTAAATAACGAATCCCAAGGAAAATGTAGTTCAAAGGTGTCTTTTAGTACATTAAATTTCGCGTCGATTGATGTTAAATAGGTCAAAATCGGCCGAGCCGTTTAGCCGCTGTAGCTTTTCAAAGTTGGGATATTTTCATCAACATGGCCAAAAGGTTGATTATTTGACCAGTTTTTGACTTACAACTCCTAAACGACGCATGCTGTACAAAAATGCGCCTGTAGTTAGTTTGGACAACACAAAATTCGGCGTAGAATTATGATTATGAATGACTAGATAGTGGTTTATTTCATGGTCATCATCCAGAGGTTTATCCAAGAATGTGTGAAGGAAAGGGTAGCAAGACCCCCTATGCAATTTTAAATCTAATATTGTTGAGGGGGTTACAAAAATTCTAGGATTCGTCCTAAGCTCCCATTTATACAATCCCATCTCTGGACACTCCCGAATGATGTTAAGCGATTCTAATATATATAATAAGATATTACAACGAGAAAGATTTGATTAAATATAGCAAAAATGTTATTTTTTAGCTTAATAAACGAAAGATGATAATGAGACGGATGTACATAGTTTTAATATGTATTTAGCCTATTAAAAAAACTATTGGGATTTTTCGTAGATTTTACCATATAACTTTTCTACTTCTCATCATTGGAATCTTAAGAATAAGGATTCATTCTTTGCTCTTATTGGTCTTGCCACAAATGGTGACATTCGGTACCATCTTTTTCGTCAGATATCGAATTGAGATAATCGTGCCCCTTGCAAGTCTTTCAGACAGTAGTGCATTATATCCCTGCATTTCATATGGAGCGAGAAAATGTAAACCTTTTTAACATGTACACGATGGTCGAGATAGGTAGACGGAGTTGACCACAGTGATAGTTAACCCATTGACGTTAATTTTCCATACCTATCTCTCTGAATTAAGTACAATTTTAAATGAGCTCTAAAGGATTGGTGGATGAGCAGTCCCTTTTGTTAGAATCAAAGTCAAAATTAGTTGAAAGTATCCTCTAGAAGAGACCAAACCAACCCTCACTTCATTTGGATATTTTCTGCTCCCAACCATGTATACCTGCTTCTGCAACTTCGCCAAGCGTTGTAACCCGTCAGAACACAGTGAGATCCACATCGATTGGAGTAAACAGAATGAGTAGTTTTAGGCTACATGAATAGTTAGATTTTCGACTCTTCTATATCACGCTTTCTTCATCAAACTGCGCTAGTGGGTACGGACCTATTTTTAATCCAAAGTATGATTCAAATTGAGGCTTGGATTTAATGTGGAATATCACGTGTTGACTGAGGGGGCAGATTCTTCTTTAACCTTTGCTGTTGCCATCACAGCTCGCGATTAATGTCACCACTTCCTTTTATTCTGCACAGTTTATGGTCATTATAGGCTTGCCTATTTACGATTTTCTTGCAAGCTGTGCCTTTCCATTATACATAACTCGCGTTGATGCTATCATATGGGATAACTGCTGAGCTGATTGACATGAGCGAACTATTTTCAGTAAATGGGTCGTGACACTGGAACCATTTGATGAATTTATTTTTGATCCCACCGTATCCGTGGAGTTTATATTGTCAACTTGCTGATAATATGTTGAAGTGGTGATCCCACAATATACCTTAACTTGATGGGTAGCATTCACTGCGATGGGCCTGCCAGCGAACCATCGGGCTAGATCCACATCATTGATTCCCCTATCTCGGAAAAAGCTCTCCACAGTAAGATGCTGCTCTCATGAGCACTTACTTGTTCATAGGCCATGCTGCACGGTCCATGACGTCACACTAGTGAATAGATTCACTGCCATATCCCCTATGTTTTTGGTAATTAGGCTGGTTGTTTGTCAGATTTCAATTGTAAGATTTTAAACTTGACAAGCATCTGATCTAGTGTTAATAATCAATAGCGGTTAAATGGTGAAGCCGATCTTAATGAATTGGAAAACATTCTACGCAGACGTTTATGCTCTTCAAACTAACTACAGGAACATTTTTTCTATAGCATGCGTTAGAAGATGTAAGCCAAAAACTGAAAGATGAATACAGGGATAATTCGTATATAATGGAATGTTGGGATGAATTCTAGAATTTTCGGAACATCAGACAACAATATTAGACTTAAAATTACATAGGGGGTCTTACTATCACACACCTTATTAGATAAACCTCTAGATGACCATCATGGAATAAACCACTATCTAATATTCATAATCCATTTAAGGACAGGATCTATGTTATTAACCAATTTTATTAAAATTTCCCAACTTTAACTTTAATACTTTTTTTCAATGAAATGGCGTCCATGCAAAGTAGGTAACAATCAATTGCCGTTATTGATTAATAAAAAAACATTATACGCAGAATTTTGTATTTTCCAAACTAACTACAGGTGCATTGTTGTATAGCATGCGTCGTTTAGGAGTTTTAAGCCGAAAACTGGTCAAATAATCAACCTTTTGTCCATTTTGATGAAAATATCCCAAATTTGAAAAGCTACAGCGGCTAAACGGCTCTGCCGATTTTGACCTATTTAACATCAATCGACGCGGAATTTAATGCACTAAAAGACACTTTCGAACTACATTTTCCTTGGGATTCGTTATTTAGGAGTTATAAGCGAAAAACCTAAAAAAGTGCAAACTTTTCATAGTTTTTCGACTCCCAAAACTTAAGCAGGCGTCAGAATCCGTCGCAAACTCACAGGAGTCTTATTTGGGACCCCCAAAAGGTATTAAAACACTTTCCAGCTTTAGACGATTTTTTGGGGAGCACACCCTATATTTGATCTAATTTGCCTGGACTATTATTCGTGTGCCAAGTATAATACGTAAGTACGTGCAATTCTACAGGTTACTTGTATTTGATATGCTATATCGATCGTTGTTTAGATCTTGAGCTGTGACGTCATATAGCCACTAAATATATCCAACAACAATATATATAGTTAATATATATTTAAACAAGCAAACTACAACATTTTACAATATTCTCCATAAGAATTACATGGAAAATTTTACTTTAAATTTTTTTGAATTTTCTCCGTTACCAATAACCATACAAAAACACTTAAAAGAGTAATGTTCTAAGCTCTTTAAAAAGGTCTGGAGAAAAATTGTGAATTTTGTTTTTTGAGGGTCAAAATGACAAAAACGAATTTTTACCCCATAAATCCCCGTTCCCATGGTCTGACCATGCTGGTTTGCAAACCCGTTCAAGTTTATCCTGCCTTACACCTTTGAACCAAATTTCATCATAATCAGACAAAAAATACTTGAGTTATCGTGTTCACGGACACATATAAACCTATATACATATATAAATATGTCAACGAATAGCATTTTTGGCCTCTGGGGACATCAAAATGAAAAAGTAAATCGGTCCCGGGTCTAGATCTTACCGTGCCACCTACAGTAATAGCTACTTCCCTATAGGGAAATTTGCTCTGAAGCTTAAATTTATATTAATTTTAAGTACCAAACCAGACTTACTTATATTGAATATCGTTGTATTCGTTCTCTTCAAAATCGTACTTTTGCCTTTCCTGTAGAAACTTTTTACATTCATCCTGTGAGTAGCATTCCTCTGTTTTGGTTTTCCAAAACAACGCTATTTGGATTGGTTGTTTGATTTTTTTCATGTCCGGATCTTTTGGTGGCAGCGCACCCCATTCCTGCCTGGATACTATTGGGTACGGTTCAATAGGGTCTGGTGGTCTGAAAAATCGGTTCTTCAATTCAAAGAATAATATATAACGTTTCATAACGTAACATATACTTTGGTAAAGCCTGCTAGGTGTTTGGGTTTACTTCTATTTTTGTGAGAAAATTGATTAAAAAATGTTAATACTACATAAGATCCTTTAAATCATGGTGTCATAGTGATTGAAAATCTGATTTATACTTTTATAAAAAAAACTTTTAGTATATTAATGTGATATTAAATCAATTACTGTGAGAATTTATGCGATAATGTAAACACAAAAAACAAAATATAAAAACAAGTGTAAACAAGTATGTTGATACATTTGTAGTTTAAACTAATGAACACCTATTTTTACTTTCTACCCCTATACCATTGTATATGGAGAAAGTATTGTTTTCGTCAAAACTTTCGAGTTTGAGTTTTGAGTGGATATTTAAAAAGTTATAATTCTTGATTGAGAAAAACTAAAATAACATAGTGTGTATTTTTTTTAATATCCCGTCTCTGAGGTTGCCAATAATTCCCCAACTCCTAGGAGTATCAGTTATTTATCGCGTAACAACATTTTAAAACTAAACAGGAACCTCGATAACAAGTCACCCTTGATAACAAGTTTAGATTTTTAAGAACCCTTCATTTTATTCTGTTCTTAATCACTTTGCCATTGCAAATAAGAAGTCAAACTCGATTATTGAGTTGACGCTTGAGACACTTGTTTTTCATTTCATTTTATTTCAATATCTTTATTCAATAATTGTACTTTGTACACTAAATCAAATTTCTAACCTAGTAAATACAGTTATAAGCTAAAATTACAATTTATACAATACTAATAAACAACCAATAAAATCAGGTGAATTGAGGGATAAAATACCTCTTTGATGGAATAAGGAGTGTTTTTATATAAAATAATTTTTTAATTTGTTTTTAAATTTGAAGTTACCAATGGTTTTAAAATGATTTGATAGGAAACGTAAAAACCTTCTTCCGGCACAGGTGGGGTTTTCATTTGAAAATAAAAGATGGTAGCGACTGTTCTTTTAGGACTTTTCCTCTTGTATTGTAGCATAATTATGAAATGCTATTAAGGCTATAATGTTACTGTATTACTTACATAAAGTCTGCTAAATAACTACTTACGCCTCGTTGCAGCCAAATTTATTCTTTAAAAAATCTATGTATGACAACCCCTCGGGATCCTCAAAAGGGTCGTAGTCAAACGTTATCGCTCCTGATTTATCCATTGTTCTAAAAAGTCAAGAAATTGAAACAACTAAATTAAAACAATTAACGCAAACTCATTTTAATAAAGTTTGTGGTATAAATTGAAACTCATGTTTTTATATGTAATATCCTTGTGACGAAATAATATGTTTCTAATTTCTACGGCATTTAGAGTAAGGGTTTGTTCCAGAAAAATATACAATATGCCTACTTTTTTCATTATTGTATTATTGTACCGTTATTGAATCATTATAATAGTTATATTTAAAATTATTATTTTACTACTCTGGCCATATTGTAAATATTATATTATTTTGTACTACTTACCTAGTGTAGATATTTCAGTCCGTTTTATATGATAAAACTAGTATAACTCCATAACGGAAACACATATTGAGATCATACTTGAGCTTTATTTAGTAGTTTCATTGTTTTCTACACACAATACATTGAAAAAATACATATCTGTCTTATGAATTATTTAGACGCCTTTCAATGGCACCTAATGCTATAACAATTATGAGAATGATAATTTTTTTCTCCTCAAATGTATTTTATTGTTAATATTTTAGTGGTAATGTGAAGATAAGATGAATAATTCATTGTTTCTATTTCTCTCAAGTTTGTAGGTGCTAGTTTGTGAAGATTTTTTTTATATTTTGTTTATTTAATAGATAACAAGGTAATGTGATATTACTTAAAACTGTTGGTTAGCAAGGAGTGAAAATTGTAAAACAAATCTTTTCTAAAATTACGTGTAAAATAACAATACCTCTACCATAAATTCATTTTAGCGAATTTCCCATATAGGGAATAAGCTATTACCGTAGTACTCATGGTAAGACCTGGACCCGGGACCGATTTTTTTTCCGTTTTGAGGTCCCTAGAGGCCAAAAACACCATCCGTTCAAATTCATAAATCAAAATCGGATCATTTTTGCTCGAGTTATCGCGCTAACGGACACATATATATATATACTTAGTCTAGAGGCCAAAAACACCATCCGTTCAAATTCATAAATCAAAATCGGATCATTTTTGCTCGAGTTATCGCGCTAACGGACATATATATATATATATATATATATATATGTGTCCGTTAGCGCGATAACTCGAGCAAAAATGATCCGATTTTGATGAAATTTGGTACAAACGTGTAAACCTACGTTTGTTCGAACGAGTTCGCGAACCAGCATGATCGGACCATGGGAACGGGGGTTTATGGGGGCTTTTATGGGGTAAAAATGGGTTTTCCCATTTTTGACCCAAAAAGCATAAAATTTTGCAATTTCTTTCTGAACTATTTTGTAGAGCTTAAAAAAACAAATAATTTAGTATACTGAAGCGTTATAATGCGCCTAATAGTTACGGAAAAATTCCAAAAAATTGTAAATTTAAAATTTCTATGTTATTCTTATGGAGAATAAGTAAACTGTTGTAGTTTGCTTGTTTATTAACATATTTTGCCCAAATTTGGAAAATGTTTTTTATTTCTTACCAACTAATAACATTTTCATAAAAAACACTTTTACCCTCCCTGTTGCAGCAAACCTAAGTATGTTTTAAACTGATTCTTTTTAAATAGGGAATAAATGTGATATTTTTAAGGAGACATTTTAGTGTAAATCCATTCAGGGAAATGGAAATTCGCTTAGTCTGCAGGTTTGCTGCGGCGGGGGTATTATATTTTTTACATTGTATGATGTGGTTATATAGCCTTTTGTTAGCATATGCACGTTAAATTGAAAAAAGAAACAATGAAAAAAACATTTTTCAAACACATAGTGACCACTAATAAAACGTAAGGTAGTTATATACAAGTTTTAAATCACGAATTCCCATTGTTTTCATGCTATGCATTAGTTTGAATGTAAATAAATCTTCAGCACTCCTCCAGTTAAACACATTATGAGCAAATACACCGTGTCCCAAAAAAAAACTGAACAATTTTATTTACTTATAAAAAGTTTATTTAACAATCACACGATAAACTAATTACATTTTAACTGTCACAAATATTCCTAAGTTTTGTTTGATATCATATATGTTAATGATTTTCAACATGGTTTCCATTAATGGCAAAAAGATAGTCAATACGGCTGTCCAATTCAGCCCACACTCTATGGCGCATTTCGTCAGTAATGTTGGTAAAGGCTGCATTTATTCTTTGCCTCAATTCTCGGACATCGGAAACTTCTGTCTTATAAACTTATAATTTTGACAAATTTAAAATCACATGCTGCACAGCGAACAGACTTTCGAGGGTCGTGAAGACATAATTGTTGCACGTTTTCAATCAATTCATTTTGGATTTTCGGCCTACCTTTACCTTTTAAATGTTGTAAGCTTCCAGTTAACATAATTTTGTCATACCAGGCTCGAATGCTGTTCCGTGATGGAGGACGTCTACCATACCGTCTTCTAAAATGTTCTTTGCACTGCAATAACTGACTTACTTTGAATGTACCACTCAACGCTTTCTCTCGTGCGTCCATGGTGCCTGCTTAATGACAGGGCAATGTTTTTAAATTTAAAGTTTCAAGCGACAACAATGAATCAGCTGATAAATACAATTGATATTGAACAAAACTTCTTGAGCTCAGTTATCATATGCTCACCTTCAAAGTAGACTAGGTATGCCTGGACGTATTATATAACAATTTAAAATTGTTCAGTTTTTTTTGGGACACGGTGTATATTCTAAATGTATTTAATTATAACATAGTTCGTGAGCAATCGTAATAAATCATTGTTAAATAAAAAAAATTATAATAAAAGAAATATAAATAATGCGTTTGGTTTCGAAATATTGAAGCTCAGTATTTCAGCAATTGCAGTAGGTAATATGATGCTAACTGAAATTGCTCAGTAATTAGTTTTCACCATAATTCGGTTCCATCCATATACAAATATCACTGGAAATCGAGAATATACCGCATAACTCGATATCATGGCAGAGTTCCAAATCACTCTTATAAACCTCAAAGTCCTGCTGATGCTTCGATATCGATGAAGCACTATTTAACTGTTCTATTTGTAGCGTAAATATGATTCAGTACCTTTATGTTAAGGACATTTAACAATATTACAGTTTACAGTGGACCTTCATATTGTTTGTAAACTAAAAAGATTTAAAATGTGAAACTGGTTCAATGTAACTATATTAACATGTAAACATATTCTGAATCAGTTGGTACAGGCATACTTCCACGTATCGTACAATAATATAAACTTATGTAATTAATGTTATCAAATCGTTATTCAATAGACACATTTTATTGGAACGTAATCTAAACTATTTAAATTATTTCACTTGCTAATCCTAAATGCCTTTACTAAAGAGGTTTTTTATCATTTTATTTTTAGTCTTAATTTTTCATATTTAAGAAAATAACGTTTATAATACTATGTATAAAAATATCCATACCCATTACTTAAACACGCATCTTATGAAGAAAGTTTTACAAGAAGGTTAACGTTGAAAGTTATTAAAATAGTTTGTACCAGGCACAAGAAGAATAACTGGCACTTATTCCGCTACAATGCTATATAACTTCTTGATCAGCATTGTACGTGTTATTAAATTTACGGAAAGTAAATAAAAGATACGTCTTATAACACTTAAAACATACACTTACGCTTATTCTGTTCGGAGTGTCTAATCGAAATCGATCACCACTTACCATTTTCTTTTTGTATATTTACCGTCTTGTGAGTATTTTACTTTCCGACAATGTTATAGTAACGAGAAAAATTGCAAAAATGTCAACGGACAGTAACTATACGATATGCAAATAACAAATAACACTGCCATTACTATAAAAATCTACAACCGAACCTCATAACAAGTAACATAGCAAGTAACAATAATTACAACTTGGGAAATAGAAAATGGAATGTCGATTTAAAATTACTTTATGTTATTATGTTTTAGTTTCAATTTTTAGAGTATTTTGATTTTGAAACAATACTGTGGACATCACTTTAACAGCTCCTGTCCCATGTCCTCATCCTCCTTTGCGAACATGCGAACGTATGTGATTGGATGTTTTATGAAATTCTTCTTCGCCCCTTCTACCGCCAGGAATCGTAACGCAACCATGGCGTTTGGGTTAGGCACCTCTCCTACAAATATGACCAAGTGTAACAAAACAAGAATCAATATTTATTCAAGTAAGACACTTACATTAATTCAGTAGATTACATGCTGTGAGCATCGAGTAGTAATAGAGATCGATGGCTGTAAGACACAAGTCAGTGAAAAACATCAGTGTAAAACATTTCAAGGATTAACAAAAACAAATGCAGGGTTATTTAGATAGTACAGCGATACTATGGTGTACAGGATACCCACATTTTATAAATGGAACAATAAAAAAATATCCCCGCCACAGCAAACCTGCAGACCATCACCACTTGCGGCATCATCATTTGGATAAAATGCGTTGGTGATTGGTGGGATTTGAACCCGGGACTTCGGACACCAAAGTCCAGCACTGTACCTCTAGACCAACTCGCTTCTCAATTCTTATGATACCATATTTTAATATACATAGTATAACTCTGTACGAAATAGATTTACCTAGATTCCCATTGTAAATTCGAATGAATGTAAGGATGATAATTTTGACCGTTATAGGAAGAGATTTTTGTGTGAAAATGCAGATATTTTTTAAATCACTACTACTATACTGAAGTTCAAACTAGATAGAATACAACGTTTACCTGACATGTCATCCATGAAGGCAAAGGTCACACTGTTGAGTCTGTAGCGATCATGACGAGGGTCATTCCATGTCGCAGCAAAATCCCATCCCAGTCCCTCGTATATGTGGCCGTCATTCCCCACCAACCAGCTGCAAACTACCAACTGTGTCAGTGGCAAGTAATGCTACTACAATAGGACGAATATCTCAAATCTGAAGGGGTCAAACATTCGATTTATCAAGTTTTCAAATAATCCAGGTTCGAGTTATCAAGGGGTGACTGTGTTCAAACATCCAACTGTAAGGTTAAGCAGTTTAATTAAAATTTGCATTCAACCCGTTATAAAGAAAGTTGGTAAGCATTTCTAGATCATTGAAAGCAAACTCTATAAACCCCACTAAAATGAACTAGACGCCCCAACGCTAGAGGGGTGAATCCTAAAAAAAGATATTTACGAGTCGTCTCTCCACTGGATCATAGAGCAAATGACACCTCAATCGTTGAAGTTAGGTAAAATGGTTGGCAAATATAGGAGAATTTGGTGAGCTACTTACTTATATTTAATGTCAGGAAGGTCATCTTCATACATATTGAGCGTCTGAATCTTCCTCAAACTCCGTTTACACTGCTCCACACTTGTGCAAGGTGGGGTGTTGGTGTACGTTAGCACTACGAAAGGAAGTGGGAACTTGTAGTTTAGCTTCTCCACTTCACGTAGAGGCTGTCGAGCCCCCCACTCTTTTCTTGAGACATATTCAAACTTTTCAATCGGTGGTGTCCTCAACACGTTTTTAAACACTTTTGTGTTCATTTTGTCAACATAAAGCACGTCTGAACGTGTTTCAATGAATCTATGTAGCCTTAAATGCTATGTAATCTATAGTAAAGTTAGGTGCATATGAGTTGTAATCTGGGTGTGATAAGAAAATACGTGTTGAAGTTTATACTTTATGGAAATCATAACATTACTTGGAATGGTTAAAGCGTTATCTTGAGGGATTTGGTGTTTAAATAAATGATTAACGATTATGTAACCGACAAGACTGTATTATAGCAAATGAATTTGATAAAATGATATGTTAGTATTTCAACAAGACTTAAGCATTCTAGATGAGATGGATAAACGTTAGTCTTATTTTTTTTAGATATCCCGTTTATTAAAGGACGCTTATTTATGTACACTTTAAGAGCTAATTTTTCTTTTCCGTTTATAATGTAAGGTTTAATAAAAAGTTGTATTTTAATGTATTAAATACCGTTAAACTGTATGGGGTGAATAAATTAATATATTTTTTTGACAAGTAAGACTCGTGAATTTTAAATAATAAACTAAAGTCACGTTATTTACTTAGTAAAAACTTATACAATTACAAACAGGAACACTAATAATACAGTTTTGGAACTGATTACATGTATCGGGCAAAGTTGAAGTAAACCTGTTATGAAGAAATACCTTAAATAGCTTCGTTAAACTGGCTTGAGAAATCGGAAACTTTTTAAAAGAAGATTGATTCGTTAGGGAAAAGAAGTTTTTTAATGAGTTTTTACAATATTTTATACTAGTTTAACGTGTATTTCGAACGGAGTGAAGCCTCTTTTTAAATATAAAATAATAAAGGTAAAAGAGAATCTACTAATAATTCTCACAAAGCAGTTTTAACACAATTGTAGCTTAAGTTTTAGCACTAATAACAAGGTCTTTCTTGTTTGACGTACTTTATTTTAAAAGGCTAAATAACTGCAAATCTTCTGGGTTTCTGCTCCAGATGATTTCCCCTGGGATGGCAAACAATTGGCACGCTTCTTCGTTTTTAAATAATCGGAGAGTTATATTTGATACCAAAGTATACAAACTAAAATTCGTTTTTATTCTCTCTCATACAATCTGAATTAAAGTCAACACAACAGTTTTCAGTTGATTTTAATTTCTATTTTCCTCGTCTGTGATATTTTGATTGGAGTAAAGCTTTTGAATGTTTATTCTGTAACTATTGATCAGTTCGCTATTTGATATATAATTTTTAAGAATATATTATCGGTATCAATTTTTTTTCTTAGCTTAGTGCTAAAATAAACTTAAAAGTTCAAACGAAAAAGAGTATGAGGATCAATTAAGTCTATGAAATGGAAGCCTAAACCTTAAAAACATGTTTAAAGAATCTAAATAAATGGTTTTGTTTCTCCCGAAATATTCTCGAAATTAATTATATATGATAGCATAAAGTAGTTATAAATTTGACCTTTAAATTAGTAGTAATGTCATTCACCGTAAAACCTACTAGGTTTTACGCGGTTGCTGGTTGGTTGGCACAATTGTCTTAGTTGTGGAAGGTTTAGTGATTTACAAACCATCTGGAAACCGCCCTAAAGAGAAATTGCTCCAGACAGTTTGTGGAACTTTTGTTTCTAACGTTCTACTTAACTTGTAATGTTAAATGCTGTTTTTGTGTTATTTTATAAGGCAATACTATAGGTTGAAAATTATGAAAATCTAAGTTTTGTCTAATATATGGGGGTTTCCTTACAATTTCTTAGAATAAAAAGAAAACTTTAATGCATTATGCAACTCATTAATGCAACAATTAAAATGACCTTTAGAGATCAAATTATATCTATTAAAAATTGGTGTAAATACCTGCTTCTTGTAATCCAAATTGTTGCTGTTATGACGCAACTAGTTTCGACTTATCACGAAGTTATCTTCGGGCGTCCAGGGGATGTCAATTCACTTCATCAGAAGGTCGTCAATACACACATACGTTCATACACGAACATGGTCACGGTTACGAACAAAAACACAGACACGAACATTGAAACGAAAAAAGTACGATTTAACGAGTAAAAGCTAAAAATGGTAACACCGGTGAGGATTATGCGTCACGGCCGGATGGATGTAGCGTCTAGACAGTCTAGACCATTTTTAGCTTTTACTCGTTAAATCGTACTTTTTTCGTTTCAATGTTCGGGTCTGTGTTTTTGTTCGTAACCGTGACCATGTTCGTGTATGAACGTATGTGTGTATTGACGACCTTCTGATGAAGTGAATTGACATCCCCTGGACGCCCGAAGATAACTTCGTGATAAGTCGAAACTAGTTGCGTCATAACAGCAACAATTTGGATTACAAGAAGCAGGTATTTACACCAATTTTTATATTCAACGTAATCCGGAGGCTAACATCAACTATATCTATTAAGTTTCCAAGACTTTGTATTTTAAAGGTTTTTTCACATCATTGTTGATTTGTGTAGCAATGGTATTTTCAGTTGTAATGTTATCAAAACATGTATGAGATACTTTGTTGTTCGTAGCCATTAGATTTTTTAAACTCAAAACTAAATGACTGGAAATCATCAGATTTTTATGGCAGTGAATAATTGTTAAACATGTATACAGTTACAATTAAATTACTAAAGCCTCACATGCAAGTCATATTTCATTACCTAATGGTGAAGGCTATCAGTGTTCATAATTCCGATGTTCATAAAAATAAATTATATGCGTTACATATAAATTTACAAAATTATTATTCGTTTAGTGGACATTTTAATTTGTCAAGAGTCGGGTTACTTCCATTTTACAGGTCAGTAAATAATGTTTGTTGGATTTCCACCTACTCTATTAGCGAGATTAAATTTTAAGTACATCCCAATTACCACGCTTTAACTCTAGTTTTAATAGATTGAATTAAATACTCGTAAGCCATCATGGCTAATATAGTATAATGTATATTGAAAATTCATAATACACAGTAAAAGGATACAAATTTAGTTCCCCTAACATTGATAGGGCGTAGCGGTTTTTGTGGCTTTAATACTCCAAAAGACATAAAACCTGTGACATGGCCCCGCATATATTTGGATGCATTTTTTACAAAACGAGTGGTTGAAAAATAACATTAAAAATGTCACTAAACTTGGACAAAAACCTTAGACATTGCTGATATGCAGTGTTTGGCTGAAGTGTAAACCCCAATCCTTCAATCGTGTCTTTCAACAAACATTTAAACATTTCAAACACGTCGTTTGAAGCTATACTAATTTATTTAACTAACTTTGTAGCCATACTAATTAAAGCTGTGTGATTCAATTATTTGATTACGTAAAACTTAAAACTTACTAGTTTTTTATACAATTTTTTTTTTTAATTTGATATACACATTGTAACCATTTACTATCAATATCAAGAGTATTTCAGTAGTCAATAAAATTGTATCAATTTAAACATGTTTATAATGATATTCATTAGAAGGCTATGGAGTAAAATTAACACAGGCAAACCCCAAAATCCGATATAGTGAAAGCTAGAGAGCTCTAAATTATGATGAATTTAATAAAATATTATGTATAAACTTTATCGAAATAAATATTTGTGTGTCTTTTGAAGACAGCCCAAGGTGTATATTTTGGTTAGTTTTAATGAAGTCCATTTCAAGTAGAACAAATCATATTAATTAACATAGCACCAAGTTTATTTATATTTGTTCTTATTTGAGTTTAAAAAATTAACTGTATAAATAGAGTCAAATGATGATAAAACCATTTGATATATTTTTTTAAATGTATTATATACGAACCGCAAGAAATATAAATGGCTATTAAGAACGCTACAACATTTATAAATTAATTTGGACAACTAATAGATCCCTACAATAAACTAAAATGGCAATGAATTATTTTAATACTTTTTAACTTCAAATATATTTATAACAAGTTGTTTATCGATAAACTACACGAAACAACTGTTATTTAAAACTATTTATTGTGGGATGGTAGTCACATTATTCCCGAACATTTAAAGCGATACGAATTAAAGCTTAGCTTACTTAATTATAAAAACATTGTATGTATGATTGCCAAATAAAACGTTGTGTACCTCCGTTACGACGAACCTGCAGACTAAGCGATTTCCCATTTGCCTGATTGGTTATTCATTGACAGATTTCCTTAAATATGTCACATTTATCCAAACATCATTTATATGATTACTTAGGGTTTTGTGGCAAGGAAGGTAACAAGTTATGTTTTATTCAAATGTTGATAGCGTTGTATGAAGTGGAGGATTTTCAAAGTTTAATCACAATACCTCCTTAATCAAGCAAACCACAACACTTATTTTTATTGTATATAAAATAACAACGGCATTTAAAACATTTACAGTCATTTTAAATGTTTTATTTGTTTTGTTATTCATTGAAAGATTTCCTTAAACATGTTACATTAATTCAAACAACATCATTTTTACGATCACTTAGGTTTCCTGTGTTAAGTAACAACACAAACAAAAAACTAGTTATGTTTTAGTAAAACTTAGATAGCGTTGTATGAAGTAGAGGATTTTAAAATTTTAATCACAATAAACCCTTGATCAAGCAAACTACAACACTTGTTTATTGTCCGTAATATAATAATGGCATTCAAAAAATGTACAGTCATTTTTTATTTTCTTCGTAACCATGAAGTGCACGACAATTTTTCTCAAAATACTAAATTATTTGTTTTGTAAGATCAAGTGTAAAGGCATTTCAAAATGTGATATTTGAAAGTGATAATGGGAAAACCAAATTTGTGTCTCATAAAACTCCTTATAAATCTCGTTCCGATAAACTGATTATGATTGTTTAAAACCCATCTGAACAAATTTATGACCACATTACGAAATTTGATCAAAATCAGATGATTTCTGCTCCAGTTTTTGTTCTAACGGACCCACCACACATTAATATACGTTACATGTGTATACGTTTTAAATAGTCAATGTTTAGGTACATATTAAGAAGTTGCAAAAATATAGATAGGCCTATATGTTTTTTAATGGATTGTTTGGCCTCTGGGGACATCAAAAGCAAAAAGTAAATCCAATCAGG